CCCCCCCCCCCCCCCCAAGGAAAGTGGTATAGTACAAGACTAACCTTTCATTATTAAGTAGAGTGCCGACAGCGTGCCTTTTGTTGGTCAAATACCCGACCTTCCAGGCCAGTGGATCAGTGCCGGCCATGAGGGACAGTAAGTCACTGCATATTGTCCATTTGAATTTGATTTACAAGAGTCCAATACAGCTGACCTGTATGCAGTGGTATGGCGCGCATTTTCACTGCGGCGCCTGGCTTGGTCAAATTCATGGCCGGAGGCTCATGGGCTAACACGGGTTTGCCTGACGTCTTTCAAATAACTCCAGACCGTGTAAGTAAGCTCCGTGGTCAGCCCCTTGAAATTCTTTTGACACGGCGATGAGATTCCAGCTATCAGACAATGGGTCTGCTTGTGGTAGGGGGTAGTGAGATAAATGACAAGGTCTGCTGAGTAGTGGCAAAGTAGAAGGGTTATAGTAGTGGAGGCACCAGTGGCAATTGTATGTGTATTGATCGTTGCTCTCTTCCTCGATAAATCGGCCCCCAGTGACTATTTCTATAACCCTTTCGACTCCTATACAATTTTCTAAATGGATCCTAACTCCACCGTTAGCTTCGAAAGATTCAGGATAATTTTCATTTGGATTACTCTATTCGTTAAAAGTGCATGGTTAGGTCTAGAGATGCCACATTTCAGCAGTATATAGATTAGCCAGAAATCACAGATACATTAAATTAGTTGGTTCGAATGATTTTGACCCTTAATGATTGATGATCGTGTTTATCAGAAGGTAATGGAGGCCTCAGTCGCGCCTTGAAGAAAACCCTAACCTCCAAACAAGGAGCTGCCCTTGAACTCCAACCCCAAACTATCAAAGGCAGACGAATAGAAAAAGCCTTCGTTTCCAAGTAACTTTCATTAATATAATCAAGTCTACATCACTGTTTAAACATTTGCCCTTTTATTCATACCATTTCTTTCTTATTTTATGGCCAATCCGGTTCTTATAGAACATAGACCAACGGTAACAGATCCAATGTCAAGCATTAGACATTATTGAATAAGGGGTAAGAGCATTGAGGGTAAGTTAACCCACCCACTTGTAGAACACCCCCTCATTTAGAACACATCTACCACATATCACCACTTCGAATTATAATTCTCCTTTATCGCGTTTTCTTACGTAAATAACGCCTTCTATTTATATAAGCTATATTATTATAATTTATAATGCCTACCTATTCTAATAATACTATTCTTACCGCTATTCATAATATTCATTCTAACCTTTTAACGCATTAAGCTATAAAGCGCTAGAACCTTCCTCCTATAACCCTTTATAACCGACTCTTATTGCTTAGTACGACATCCTAACTATCTCGTTATATAAAACGACATTATCTCTATCTACCCTATAGCTTAGAGTTGAAGCTAAATGTCACACGACCTAAATCCTATAATCGAATAGTAACCCTTAAGCCACTTAATAAGCATTAGATTAATAGCTTCTTATACTAAAACCTAGAGATTAAGACCTTAAGAGGTAAGATAATTAACTCTCTTCGCGTGAATAGAGCAATAACTAAAAGAATTTAGGCGTTCTTCACTATCTGAGCCATTCTAGCTACCAAGGATATCCTTCTAGCCTACTAATATAATATAGATGTCATACTTTTTCTAGTCCTTAGGGTGACCTGAAAAGTAGAGATATCCTTGGTTGCCGACAAGGACAGTGCGGGATCTTACTAACGAAGGGTATAATCTAGCACTTATAAGACTTCTCTTAAGAAGCATTTAATATCCCTTAGGGAATTAACCGTTTATAAGTTAGTATACGTAGTAGCGTATATAGGTATTCACTATTAATACGCTTATATATATTAAAGGTAGGTAAGGTATTATATAGTATTAGGTTCTTATATTTATTATAATTAGAGTGATAGACTTAGGGTTTTATAGTCGAGTCCCGCTTACCTAAGCTATATGTAGTTTTTCTATGACACCCTCACAACATCATATCATAACGATGTCTCGAGCCGATAGCTATATATTCTTTCTAAGATACTCACCGCCTTATTAACTATATACGAGCATCGCAAGGTAGTCGTAGAGTATTATACTTTTACTGTATTTTTCTCTATGGCTTAAGTAAGCGGGACTCGACTATAATAACGTTAGATCCGTCCCTTCTAGCATAGAATAAAATCAATGTATAAGAGGACAATCAACTATCGGCATACCACAAGACATACTAAAAAGAGACGAACCTCCCTCTTTCTATGTGACGAGTGGTAGCTTTATATAACCAGCTTCGTATATGGTTAACTAGGCTTAGGGTAACCCCGAAGATTGGCGGTTTGAGGAGTTGTTGAATAGTATGCCTAACCGTTGCGCTGCTGTTATTGCTAGATAGAATGCATATAAAGTACTAGTGCGAAATCCCGATCAGGAACTAGCTTAGATAATATATCGCGATTCGGCCTACTGATAAAACTCACCCGTGATACCTCCCTCGTACGTGTTTACCGAATTATTGGTGGTGGCATTAAATGCTGGTACACTAAATGGAGTAGTCGGTAGAAGGTGGTATAAAATGAGACCAGCTCTCAATTGATATTATTCCCCCGCAGCTGATGGGGTATTAATAACTTCTTACAAGAGGCAAATCCGTAAAACCGGAAATAACTCATCTAATATTCCTTGTTGTTTCGCAAAGCTGCTTCATGGCTTTGCTTTTATCGATGCACGATGCACGAGTACGAGTTACATGTACGCGTAAACATGCAGGTTCTCTCCGCTCCATGAGTAAAAAACAATATTGAACACGACCGTCGACACGAAGTATTCATTCATACATGACACCCAAGTTGTACTGGACAACCGTGGTGTAATATATAATATTGATGAGCCCAGGATGAAAACGCCTCCAACAAAGTGGATACACATAGAGTCAGAAACCAATAGAAAACTCGAACGGTTGCGCCATTCTTTGCAATCTTATCTTGAGCTTGTTGAGACATGATACGGAAAAGACGCAAGACCCACGCAGCCGTTCGGATTTGCGCTGATCTCGGACATCAGGAAAATTTCACATGCAGTCGCCTCCCTTCGAGAAGAATCAGTACAGGTCCACTACTTTGAATTCGCACCACGCAAATCCAACAGGCCAAAAGCCATAATCAGGGTCATTGAGCGACTAATACCACCCAAATTTCTCTGCGCTCTGCAAGTGAGGTGACATGGCAAACGAGTCCCTGAATGGTGCCGATCTCGAGCAGACCTCATCCCTCAAGGGGATGAGGCTCCACTGGATGCGTGCTCGTGAAAACATCGATATGCGATGGGCAGACTCATCCCTCATGGTATGCAGCTTCGTCTGTGGTCTCATCGATAGCGTCGCCTTCAACGCCGTTTCTGTTTTTGTTTCTATGCAAACAGGTTTGTCTTCCCTTTGGACCAGTTATTGCTTGTGTTCATCGCACTGACGGAAGACAGGCAACACGATTTTTATCGCCCTGGGTTCTGCCTCCCTTCCGGTCAGTCAGCCAACGGTTTGGGCTCGTGCTATCGTTTCGGTCGCTGCCTTCTGGGTCGGCTGCTGGTTCTTTGCGACGGGCCTACGGCAGCTTGGCCCGCGCAACAAATTGACTCTCTTCGCGTCATTCTTCATCCAGGCAGCCCTGATCTTTGTGTCGGCTGCAATGGCTCAGACGGATGTGGCGCCGGCCTTCGGGTATAAGAATCTCGACCCTTTGGTTCCATTCGACGAGGAACAGAAGCTGAGGGAGGAGGCCCACTACTCCTCTTACATCGTCATTGCCCTACTTGCGTTCCAGTCTAGTGGCCAAATTACACTCAGCCGTAGCCTGGGATTCAACGAAGTCCCAACAGTGGTTGTTACCTCTCTGTATTGCGATTTGTTCTCCGACCCAAAACTCCTTGACATGCCCCTGAGGTCCAATGTGAAGCGGAACCGACGCGTTTTGGCCGTTATTCTTCTGGTAGCTGGTGGTATCCTCGGCGGTTGGTTGCAACGAACGAGCGCGGGTATGCCAGGAGCACTTTGGTTGGCAGCGGGCTTGAAGCTTGCTATGGCTATTTCATGGCTTGGATGGAGGAGTGAGACCGTCTCTGGCTATGTTTGATCGAATAAAACGCATATATAACGGATGAATGACATAGGTATAGGCATAGACATAGACTTATAGACAACATAAGGCACCGCGCTTGTCAATTGCCCAGCCAAAATTATCCAAAGCACGAGGTTTGGTAGCTTCTATGCCGCACTACGCGGCTTAGAGAGCCTCCCGGATTCTGATACATCGGGATGTGAAGGCCAATGTACTTAAATAGAGGAACGAGGTTGTGAACAGTGCCTTATAACTTGACCAAACAATGAAACCCAAAATACATGACCTTGATACTCGGACATAAATGCTAGGGTACTCAATCCGTGCCCAGTATTCCCACTAAATACTATAAGAGACTCTTCAGAGCAATAGTGCAAATAATAGTTTCTCCGTATCGTTAGTAGAAAGCACCATGTTATGGCGGTCATTTTCCAACCGAGCAGCCGTTTCATTACCACGTTGAGACGCAGATATCGGCATCACACTGAGAGCCGCAGCAATGGCGACGCAGCCAAACGCAATTGCGACAAGATACACGATTTTGTATGACTCGGAGTTTGTCTGTAAGACTGCATGTTGAACTGCAGTCACAACTCTTCTGCGCCTTCGACAATAGCGTAAGCTGCTTCCGTGTTTGTGATTGCTGCCGTCACCAAAGCAGCCATGGATCCGACGAAGCCAGAGCTCCGAGCTGCCCTGCGAGCATGTCCTGGGAGAACCTGCGAGAACCGGCTGGTCTGCATCGATGTGTAGATGGCTGTGGTCACGGCACCACCGAGAAGTCGAAATGTGCTGATGAATCCGAGTCCGACACCAATAACCTTCTGATCCTTTAGATGAAACGAGGCCATACCGACCGAAAGTGACAAAGTGTACCGCAATTTCTTATTCAAAGCGACCCTGACGACGCGCACGCGGATACGGTTGTCCTCCATGATTTTGACGAGCCACGACGTACCTTGACATACTCGGAGCCCAGAGTACGCGCGGCCATAGAGGCTTCCATATTATTGGCTAGATTTCTTCTTCAAGAGGTGGATGTTGTTTGTATCTAAAGCTTCAATTCTGTAAATAGGGCATCAATGACGCACGTGGTCCTCTAGGCTGGTGTCAGACAAGAAGTCTGTTCGGAGTAGGAGTGGAGTGAGGGCCCACTAAGTAACGAGGTAGCGGAGAGGTAGTGGTGAAGGTGCCAATAGTGAAGGATATGTATTTATCGTCGACATCTTCCTCGATTCTATCGAGGAAGATGTCTACTTATATGGCTGTCCGTTCTCCTTGGCCCAGTAGAATCATACTGATGTGTTCTGACAGCTGGTAATTACCATCGGCAAGCAACCCACGTAAATAGCATGCCATACAATGTCTATTATATAAGATATCGTAGTACAATTGACCCCCTGGCTACAAGATTCAATCTGCAACACTACTCCAAAGTGATAGGCCAAGTTCATTGCAGTCGATCCAGGACTCGCGTGCAATATATACAAAGCGACACATGCCCTGGGGATCCCACTAGCCATTGTCTTCACCGGCAAAACTTTCCATAAATAACAAATTACAGTGAATTTCAGCAGGCCATGGGCGCTCCCAGAAGAGCATTCAAATACCAATTGATCAGTGTCCTCATAGTTTCACGTCAAACACATGTAGTTGCGTGGGACCTCAGTGGCCATGATAGTCATCTTCAGCCCAGCGCCCTTTGCTTCCGGCCTGGAATAGCTGGGGCTTCTAAAGCCGTAGCAGTGTCACACCATAAGTTAATTACAATACTTGGCCTGAGAGTAACCAGCCTACTCCTCCACAACCCGCATCAGAGGGAGATGTTCCTCCCGTCATTTGCCCGTGTCTATGGCCTGGTCTCGGTTGTCTTGATCCCCGCATAGGTCAGAATACATACATAAACAATGAAGCGTTTGAACTACCACCTTATGGGATGTTCTGAGGCTCATTCAACAGCGCTACGAATCTTTTCGGTAGTGGTCGTGCGAATTGCAAGTTACGCCAGGGGTAAAGCCTAGAACTGGCGTATATCAACTACATCGTGTGCTCGGATAGAGTACTATCTGACGAATCATGACGCTTCAATAAATGTTTAATATAGATACGGGAATTCACAATGGTCACTGAATAACGGAAGGCACGGTTACTCTCCTTCGAAAAATCCGTTGGGGCAAGGATGCTAGCATTGGATGACCTGCTGCTGGAGTCTCCATTCGATAGTGAACGACAAGCTTTGTGAAGTGGAGCCTGGAACTGAGGGCGAGCGCCTGATAAGAGACCCTACAACATTTCTCAAGTATAGAACAGTATGAAAGCGATGATGGAGGCAAGAACTCAAAACGGATAGATGCGTACCAGGGTTTCGTCCGTGCTGACAGGAGTTTTTCACCTCAAGGAAAGGAAGAGATAACTCATAGACTTTCGAAGAATCAAGTTGCTTCAGTAGTGCTGGAAGAGTTTTCTTTCTAGACTCTAAATTGGATGAAGCTGATCTGTGACGTATAAGGCAAAAGCCCAGATACTGAATCCCGGTTGGGTCTGTCACTCTGGCTCTGGACGTTGCTGAGAGGCCCGAGGGTCAGAAAAAGGTATTGGCTGACATTAAAGACACTGCTCATATGCATGCAGCGCCATACAAAACGTTCCGTGAATGATTGGTACTTCTTTCAGACCTGCCAAGGAATTCAACTGCGAAGCTTCTCAGAAGGGAAGAGTAGGCAGTTCGGAATGACTGATATTTGGGATAATTTATGGGGAGTACATACACCGTACAATGTCAATTATGGAAGAAGCCGCCGCGGCTATCTATACAGGGGTATAAGTTCGGAGGCATAAACAATAGCATAAGAGGTCTCTTTTCATCGTCGGAGTGAGTACATTTATCCTTCGTTCATTCTTGCCACAGTCCCTCTTCTGATGCTCGCGATGTACTGTCCTGATGGTTAAATCATTAATACTGATTGATAGACCCCCAGGCCACGCATTTCAGGAGACACATGTAATGCTTTTGTTTTCTTGTTACAACCAAGTATCACGCCTTGTTGTTGGTGTTAGTCACTTGGTGAGACTATAACTTGAATGAAGATTGCCTATAACTTTACTGTATAGTCTAGATAAATCAAGGCAAACCGAACACGCTGGGGCAAAAAGAGGGAGAGCGTAGGGTTCTAGTACGCAACAGGTGCTTAGCGATGTAATACGCGAGTGAGAGGGCACTCGTACCTGGCTGACTACCTGTACTCAAGGTCTCAAGGCGGCCTCGACAATTCGAAGCTTCGATTCTTCTGACCTTGGGGTCTTGGCGCCAACGGGATCCTGTTGCCAATAAATAATGCCTTGGCAGTGTGGATGCCACCACATGAGTATACCGCTTACAATTGCCAATGGGCAGTTTCTGGAGCCTCAAATGGTATAAAATTGCCTATACGTACACGGACCAATATGAGATGTAACCAAGCTTTGTTCTTAAACTAGCTTAGCTGTTTGTGTTCGTATTCAGAAGCCCCCATGCACCTGTGTAGAAAGAATGTAATTCTAGAATGGATGATGAATAGCAACTCGCGCTCGTAATTCTCCACATGCTCACGGTCAAACGCCCAACAGACAACGGGTGTAATACGCATAACCAAGGCAATATACAAGCATAAAAGTTTATCAGATCAGGGTTATACCAGGCACTATCGATTCCTTCATCGCGGGATTGGCGGTTGTGGCGCCATTTGTGCCACCATGTGGATTCGGCTTCTCCCGCACGGAGCTGCATAGTGATATTTTAGGAAGTCAGCCTGCGTTATGGTGGGCCACCCAACAACAGCAGGCAGGTGTACAGTACAGTGGTTTTAGCCGTATGGTCTTAATGTATGCTCCGGGTGCAACTCGTTTGGTGTATTGACAGTCTAAAAGTACAGCTCAAGGTACTACAACAGACATATCTCGTCATGCTTGACGAGTACAAGTATACTATTCCTTACACTGGTCAGACGATGATGTCCTGCTGTCCCTCATTGACTTGTTCTTCAACCTTTAAGAGTTGCCTTCCTTTCTAAGAAATGATCACCAAATTGTGAGACATTTGCGCCTTTTTCATGCCACCACCACCACATGCCGCCTCTAGCCCATTGGCCGATTGATAAGATTAAAAGTGGTGTGGACACAAAAACCCACTAGATCCTGATCAGTGATCACACGCAGTTACCAGTTGGTACGGGTAATAGTACCCCGTAAATACGACGTATTATTACACGCGAAACACATTCAGTGCGTATGAGTAAGAGAAGGCAGACGAACTAGCTGCCACCAAACGCAAAAATATTGTGTCGTGCAAAATCTCCTGCAAGCTTCTGGGCTTCGAAGATATTGCGATGTGTATGGCATTGCGCCTCGTTCTTAATGTCTAGATTAATGGCCCTTGGATATCACGGTGCTGGAACCTCCGCTGAGAAGCCCAAGAGACGGAAGAGACGTAAGGAGAAATATCGCCAGCTGACCGGTGCTAACACCCTTCTCGGTCTTACTCCGTACATCTATTTTTCGCGGTTGAGACGGAGGCTGGCCAACAGACTCATACTAAGAGGATAATAGATCTAACCGACCAGTAATATGGCTCGGAGTCAATGTATGAGAAACTGCAATCCAGGCTACTAGCGAAGGTGGTGTCCTCGGGATCAACCGGCTCATTTACAACTTGCCTCCAGCAATGCAAAATTTGCCATGTTGGCTGTTCCTCTGCAGGGGTGTTTCTTGCCCTTGCCACTTCATTATGTTGGTCCAGATGAGTTTAACCATGATTTTAAAGGTGGCCGCAAGCTTAAACACTTGTGGGCGGGGGTGCTGCCAAGGGTCTTTTTGCCAATAAGGGACAAAGCACCGGACGCCGTTCTCTGTGATGTGTGGACGTCCCACTGAAAATTATTTCGTATTGGTACGTAAACTTTATAGGGTGCTATGCGTGAGCAGTATCCCTGCGCGGGGTGGCCCGAATCAGCACTTATTTATGTTGCCCGACATCCCACTTTGATAGTTCTGTCTCGGTTCTTACTCCATCCCTCCAATGTGCGACCGATCGTCAACAATCCGTCACCTTTAACCGAAACTTGTCCTACGGGTTTTCAGCCGTCACACAACCCCTCAGCGGCACCTTAAAATGGGTGTTTCCAGACCCGAAGAAGCGTCGGAGCAGGCCCAGGGCCCTCTGGGACAAGGCACTTCTGACATGGAGAAGAGCACGGTTGCTCCTCGCTCTCAAGATGTCAGCGGCTACTCCTCTGATGACCCTTCCGAAAGGTACCAGAACGGAGTCCAAGGCGTACGAGCAATCACGAGTGTTTGGTCCAAGTACACTCTCTGGAGCATGTTTGCTCTGTAAGTATTACCTATGATACACCTTGTTGCATGGTACACAATGAAACTCAGTACTTACAAGAAGATCTGTGTTAGTCTGTACCTCATTTCCTTTTTTGATTACCTACAGAACGCCATCGATTCTTCTCTCAACCCTTTCATCACCTCGTCTTTCGGCAGCCACGGCCTTCTGAACGTTGGTAGCATTCTCTCGACCATCGTCGGAGGATGCGCACCTCTCGCTCTGGCCAAGATAATCGATATATGGGGCCGTGTTGAGGGCTTTGTGGGCATGCTCACTATCTGTGTCATTGGAATGATCATGAAGGCCACCTGCGAAAGCGTGGAAATGTACGTTAGCGCCCACGTTCTCTACTGGACTGGCCACATTGGCATGGCCTATGTCATCGAAGTCATGATATCGGATATGACTTCTCTCAGAAACCGCATGATCATCTTCACTCTCAACGGCACACCTCGCATTGCTAGCACCTTTGCTGGTCCCGCTATCGCCGACCTATTCTTGGAAAATGTCAACTTCCGATGGGCTTTCGGCGCCTTTGCTATCATCCTCGTCGCTTTCAGCATCCCGGCTATGGGTCTCATGGTGTACATGTCCCGACAAGCTTCCAAGGCGGGACTTATCCACAAGGAGCGGTCCGGCAGGACCTGGGTACAGTCCATTAGCCATTACGCGATAGAGCTGGATTTGTTTGGAGTTATCCTCATTACAGGAGCCCTTTCCTGCCTTCTTCTTCCTTACAGTCTGGCTTCTTATGCACCCGACTATTGGTCAACCCCCTACATCATTGCCATGGAGGTCCTGGGAGTTGTCCTATTCCCCATTTTCTACCTCTGGGAAGCCAAGTTTGCTCCTGTGCAGTTTCTTCCCTTCAAATACCTCAAGCAGGGAACTATTATTGGTTCCTGCCTACTTTACGGAATCATGTTTCTTTCAACCTTTACCTGGAACTCCTACCTCTACTCTTATCTTCAGGTCGTTCATAGGGAGGGCGTCAAAGATGCCAGCTACATCTTGAACGCTTACTCTCTGACTGCTTCCATTCTTTCCCCACTTGTTGCTTGGTTCATCAGCTACACTGGAAACTTCAAGTGGACGGCCTACGCTGGAGTTCCCATCATGCTCCTGGGTACCGCACTCATTCTTCCCTTGCGCCACCCCAAGTATGACGGCAGTGTCATAGCCGGCACTCAGGTCATTGTTGGCCTGGGTAGCGGCATTTTCACTACCTGCAGCCAGATTGCTGTCATGGCTCCCGTTACGCACCAGCAGCTGGCTGTTGCCAATGCCCTTGCTGGACTTTTTGGTGGTGTTGGCGCTGCTGTCGGCCTGGCTATTGCTGGAGGACTGTGGAACAACCTGCTCCCCAAGGAGCTGAAAAAACGCCTGCCAGAGGCGGCAAAGGCCGACTCTCGCACGATATTCGGGGACATCGTGTTGCAGATGTCATTTGCAGATGGTTCACCGGAGAGGGAGGCCATAGTTGGCGCCTACTCCCATGTTATGAGGTACATGGTTATTACCGGCGTGTGCCTCATGCCTCTCTGCCTAGCTTCCATTTTCATATGGAAGAACATTAACATCCGCAAGCTTGAGGAGGAGAAGGGAAAGCAGACAAAGGGAACTGTCTTCTAGTTATTGGATTATGACTTGGGTAAATCCGGTGCGTAGGCCCAGTGGGAGATATACCATTCATTATTCAGTTTGTGGGTGGTAATAAACACCATTTCGGTCTCCCCATAGCATATGTTGTCAATAAATTTTCTGTTATATTTCCCGGATGATTCTCTGCACTTAGTTTCACCTACTTTTGAATGCGCGGATATAACGAGCGTACGGATTACACCCGTCTAAAAAACCACTATACATGTGCGTCTGGGCTCGTCCTGGAACCATCTCCGCGGGTTCTCCGACAGTTGATTCAATTCCACATCTAATTGTTATTATCATCATCATCATTATTGTTATCATACGCTGTTGACCCTTTTGAGGGGGTGGACGAAATTTCTCTAGTGATATACAAGGGGGAGAAAGCCTTAGTCTCCGGGATAAAAGCCCTCCTTCAGTAGTACCTCGTGACCTGGTTGGTCCCGCCGCGCTTTCGCTACAGTCAAGGTGCTGGTGTCTGGTTCACCAGAAACCTTCCGTTCTCACATAGAAGGGGGCAGGCCGTTAAGACCAGAAGACAAAGGAAAAGTGGGGTAATGTGTATGCGTGGGGGATGGGCAAAGGGCCATCTCATGTTATCCTATAACACTGAACCAGGTTTGGGTTCGGAAGACACATCTGGATAGGGCGGCACATGGCTCAGAGCCAGTTATTTATCCAAATAGCTCAAAAGATTCTCTAGTCTTCGATGTTAAGAGCGCTGTGACACAACTGGTGAAAATTATGGCATAGACGCCACGGGCTACCCCGAAAGGTTTTGTGACCTCACCAAAGCCGTTCATGTTTTCTCTACAGCTGCGAGGAGAGTGGGTATGGAACATGATCACGGCGTATGGACACACGGATGGCTTCGCTCATAGCGATATGTTGAATCAGGCCTGCCAAATTATTCATAAATAATTATTCCGAGGAAGATCAAATCGTCTTGATCGAAAGGTGTTGTGCGGGGTCGAAAGATAGCTAGGGGGGTGATATGATAGCAAACGATGGAATAAGTAATATCACATGATTCAGTTGTTAGACTAGACCATGTCCTTTCCCAAGCCCTGTTCTTTTGAAGTATTACCGTAGGATGCTATGGATCCGCCAAGTCGGAAAATTCTACGAGGTAGAAATACGTGCGCTCTAAAGCAGGAAGGGAAAAGAACAATAGAGCAGCTGGTGAACTGATGAATGTGGATGTCAATGGCCTCTAGTCCTCTCTAATGAGTGGAAACAAAGGGAGCTCTACCACCCCGCTCTCAACCTCCCAAGGTGAAGGAATTTTCTCCCCGGACGACTGGATTTTCCCCCCTTATTTCCCTTTCTTTTTCTTTCTTTTTTTTTTTTGAACATCATACCATAAGTCAGTACTATCACATCTTTATTTGTTTGACGTCGCAAGTGTCTCTATAATTGGACGTTGTAATCGGGGTCTGAGTCCGGGGTCTGAGACAAGACTCGTTTGCACGAAGTAATACTCCCACCTCCTAGTTAGAACCTTTGGAAGGATGGATTCGACTCCGTGCCTAATAATATGTACGCGAAGTCAAAGTTTCATATGGACTGAACAGTGGTTCCAACAGCATGATAGGATATTGGAAGATCCCAATGTCTTGGCAGCCCAATCGGCATTCTTAGTGCGGATTAGCAGGTTCAGACTTTATTCAATCTGCCGCGCTCACTGTCGCACGTGGATGATCCGCAGCTTCTTATTGGTCTAATTTTTCGACGTTTAAACAGCGACTTAAGCTTAAAACAGACTGTGCAACCGATGGCCCATGGGCAAGGAGACAATGCACGCACGTGGGCTGCTTCTCAGTGCGTTTTGATACTGGTAACGAGGCCTCAGAGAGAAAGGAAGGAGAAAACTTCTTTTCTGGAGACCCCAAGAAAGATCCTGCATACACCAAAGTGTATAAAACTGCTGTCGCGCCCTCCTCCCACTACTCGTGTGGATGCTATTCAGATTACAAGAGGCCTTTTGAGCATCACACAACCCAGAGACTTTTTTCTTTCCTTTCCTTCACATCTCTTTGCAGGGATATCTATTCCATTTTGATCCCTTTCCCCTCTTCTGCGCAGGGCCAACTGTCAAAATGGCCGCCGAAGGAATGGATCAGTACACTTACGTGTTCGCGTTTGGTACTATGTTTGCTCTTCTCGAGGCTTACAACAACGGTGCAAGTATGTGATTCAATCCTACGATACTCTTCCATATCGTCCATTCGATGCAGGTCCAGACAGTTGCTGACTTGCTGCTCGACCACAGACGATGTCGCCAACGCTTGGGCTACCAGTGTCTCCTCTCGATCGGTTACGTACCGCCAAGCCATGGCCCTCTGCCTGGTTTTCGAACTGGTTGGTGCCCTGGCAGTCGGTGCACGTACTGCCAGCACGATAAAGAACGGAATTATCCCGAGTGAGTCGTTCGGGGATAATGCAGGAGTGCAGCTTCTCGCCTTTGCTTGCGCTTCTGCCGGTGCCTCCCTCTGGGTGATGTGGTGTACCCGCCACTCGGCCCACGTCTCTTCTACCTACTCGCTAGTGTCCTCTATTGCTGGTGTCGGTGTCGCTGCCGTTGGTGCTAGCAACGTCGAATGGGGATGGAGCGGAGGGTCCGGTCTTGGTGCTATTTTCGCCGGCCTGTGCATGGCTCCCGCCATTGCTGGTGTCTTCGGCGCCGTCATATTTTCACTCATCAAGTACACCGTCCACGTTCGAAAGAACCCGGTGTCTTGGGCCGTCTGGACGTCGCCCTTCTTCTTCCTTATTGCTGGCGTCGTCTGTACATTGTCTATCGTTTACAAGGGATCTCCTAAGCTTGGACTTGACGAGAAGCCTGCCTGGTATATTGTCAGTGTGACCCTCGGCGTCGGCTTCGGTCTTTTCTTCCTTGCAGCCATCTTCTTTGTCCCTTACGTTCATGGAAAGGTCATCAGGAAGGATGCGTCACTAAAGGCTTACCATGTTTTCCTCGGCCCCCTTCTCTTCAACCGCCCTATCGCAGAGGAGGCTGAGCACGCCGTGGTTCCAAACTACAATGTCATCCAGCACGGTGGCGAGGACAATGACAGCGCCAATGGTGTGAAGGTCTCTGAGAAGACTGACGCCCCTCTGGATAACGACAAGGTCGCCGGTGACGATTCTCAGACTCGTTCCCTTCCTTCCGACGGATCTGTGGAGGCGGGTGAGAAGAACGGCTTGAGCATTAACGAGCAATACAAGCTCACGCTCAAGAAAGCAGAGGAAAAGCACCACGCTGAGCTCCGTCAGCAGCGCGGCCCCCTAGGCTGGGCTATGCGTGTCCTGTACAGGAACCAAATGGGGGCCGGTCGCATTTATGAACTGCACAACCTTAAGATCTTCATTAACCGGATCCCTGCTATGGTTGTCGTTGCCTTTACCTATGGACTGAACTACGACATTCACAAAGCACAGGTTGGCGTCCTCGGAACCCCTGAAGGACGCCGTATGGACCGTGTTTACTTTCACGCCCCCAAGTATCCCAACGAGGTCGAATTTCTCTACTCTTTCGTCCAGGTCATTACTGCTTGCACTGCTTCGTTTGCGCATGGCGCTAATGACGTTGGAAACGCTGTTGGTGTCTGGGCCGGTATGTATGCGGCTTGGTCTACGGGTAGGACCGCTGCCTCTAAGGAGGAGGTTCCGCTCTGGCAAATTGCTACCGTCGCCTTGACCATTTGCATTGGCTTCATTACCTACGGGTACAACATCATGAGAGGTAAGTTCATATTTCGCAAGATAACCTTCGGCCAGATACTAATATAATTCTCCGTTCTAGTCATGGGTAACAAGATTACCTACCACTCCCCATCACGTGGCACTTCCATGGAGATGGGTGCAGCCATCACTATTCTCATCTTTTCCCAGTACTCTCTGCCTGTTTCTACGTCGATGTGTATCACGGGCGCCACTGTCGGTGTGGGACTGTGTAACGGCACTTTCAAGGCTGTCAACTGGCAGCGCGTGGGTCTTCTATTCTTCTCCTGGGTCATGACCATCCCCATTGCCGGCATTATTGGCGGTGGTCTCATGGGTCTGGCTCTCAACACACCAAAGTGGTAAGCCTCTGAAAAGAAGCTGTTATTTGAATGTAAATTGAATAGAAAAAGACATAGATATGTATATATGTAAGTTTGGGTAGCAAATTGGGAAAATTGGAAACACCATTGATACTATTGACAGATGAAAAAAAAATTAATCAACGTGAGTCTGCATATTCGGATTACCTACCGCGCTCTCTACGGGAAGTATACATATGTGTCACTTTATGACCAGAACAAGTAAAATTCATCGTGCAGCAAGATCGTACCTGTGCTCTAATTTGTCCTTCTGTGACTTGGCGCCCCCCATCTTCCTTTCTACCTTTGATGTGAGATGTTGCCTTGCATCCTTTGACTTGAGACAGCTGATGATAGCGATACTCCCTGGCCCAAAGATTTCTAAGTACACTGTTTTGAACATGTGCGAATATGCATTTGGCAATGCACCACTCACAGCTTCCTGTACAGACGTTGAATTCTCTGAAACATCACCTGCAGTTATGGCAGCGAGCAGCCCAGAAACCTCGGAAGATTGCAGTCCCACTTCGTCCACAGCGGGGACGACGACAGCCGAGATCGTCGATGTAAGGAGGTTAGCCAAGATAGCCGTGTAGACCGTGGTGGCAGAGCCACCAGCCGTTCGAATTGATGCCAATAAAGCCGAAGCCAACCCAATATCCTAGGCATCACAGAAAAAGGCGGCGAGGGCCAACGACGTTGGCTCTATGAACCCGACAGAAAAGGGACCAAGGATTGTTGGCGCAACGCCAGTATTCTTATCTGAAGGTGCCAATGTTGCTAATGTTGCTACGAATCTCACCATAGCAAAGTTTCTGAATATGAGCCAGTACCACACGTCAGATCGTATCTGAGGACGGCTGCATTGGCCGAGTCGCCACCAACGTATCTTGTCTGGCTCTTCTCGTCGACAATGTTGGCGTCAATATCTTCAACCCGGCTGACTTTCAACTCATTGTTCTTGGTTGCTGACAGACTGGCCGTAATGGCTATCAAGGCGGGTTTTATCAAAATAATCCCCTCTTCTTGCTCACTGAGTGTTCCAAGACATGGAGTCAACGACGGAAATATCAACCGCGGGTTTCTGTTTCCTTCTTTATCTTACTGGCTTGATACGCCAGTTTAGAGCCTATTATTCAGAAGCAATACGATCCATATATGATAAGAAAGTACATGCTGCTCTGTCACATCCACATGCTCACTTGCTCAAATCACTTACAAAATCAGTACCCTTGTATGCAGCTAGTACCTACGTTCGACAGATCGTTGTATCCAGTACACAACACCAATCCGGATATATCTGCCGCTTCCCCAGGCTCAAAGGGTCCCAAACTCCCAACCGCACGTAGCCCCGCGAAATGACCACCAGTGAAGAGAAATCCAAATTAAGTACAGTTTAAAGTCACCATTTTTCTTTATTGGAGAAAAAAACAGGCGGTAATGATTCATTCCATGCAATGCGTTCGATCATACTTCCTGTCAAAGGGTAATCAGCCAGCCCGCATTCATGCATCTGGGCTCATGCATACGTGGTCTTGTTAGTCCATCATCCGTGTTATCCGTGGAATCCTAATGCAAAATTCAGAAAAGACGTGAGCGTGAATAGTCTTAACGCGTTGTTGATGCAAAGCCACATATTGTGGTAAGAGCGCGGAAGGCATGAGAGAGGTGTCTCCGGTACATGATAGGATTCTTCTGGGAAGAACTGTCATCACCAGGGCCAGGTAATGTATACACCCGTCTTCACTCATATTTTTTCCTACTTATCATTCGCGGAGGGACCTGAATTATGGTGTGAGAAGAGTCACTTAGGCTCCCTCTTTTGTGTACATGACGTCAAACCCTCACTGCATGTTCTCAGCCTAGAGCTCCTGGTCGCGCATAGTTAGCCTACCTATTCATAGCAGTTTCCCAAGCCTCCCATGCTGCCAACCGTGATATGATGACACTGTTTGGGCTCACGCTGGAAATTTCGTCATAGCCCAAGGTTCTCTAAAAGGTTTTCCTGGGACACGATTTATTTGGCCAACCCCACTGGGACTGCCTTCTTAGTTGCGAGTATCCTTGCATTGAATGAGAACAATTTTTTGGAGTTTCCAAACAAAACTATGGCTTGAGGCGGAGCTCCGGCTAAAGAGACGCCACATAGAACCTCGGTCAGTCTGAAGGTGGCATAAGGCGAGTCAAAGATGACATCGGCATTTAGAACCGATTCCATGCCACCACCTGAAAGCTTATGTCAGTACGAGTTCAAGTCCTGTACATGTCTTTGTGTTACCATGTGCGTGGTCATTGCAGGCAATGATTATAGGTTTTCTCTCGGTCCGTTTTGTCATACGGCTAAATCCACCTTGGGTATACTCGTGTGCAATGTCTCCCGTATTAGCAATATCAAGCCTTCTGCTTTAAGTATATGCCAGCGTAGTAGGCCTTGGTTCGGCGCCAGTAAAAACAGCACAACGAAGCTGAGGTTCTACATGGTACCATTTCCATAGGGCCCCGAATCCAATTGTCGCCTCTACAGGAAGACAATTGCAATATTTCGGGCGATCTATTGTGACCTGCAAGATGTGCTTTCAGGGGAAGCCAATGAGATTGTCTCAATGTAAGGATATGGTGTCTCGGTCCACGATGGGACGAGGTTCTTGGTTCGCGGGGTTGAAATCCTTCTATATGCGCATGGCTAAAGAACATGAAGGTCATAATTACATAACATTATGACCAATTTCCATCTTGAAGCTATTGTTGAAACATTGACCTCGGCTAGACCACTGTGACCAGAACACAAAGTAAGAACCTCGAGAACATTAACACAGCTGGCAAACATCAGTCTAATGCATCTTGAAATCTGACGACCGTGGAACTCCCGTCCCCATATCCCACAATGAATCGTTAGCTCCTGATGGGATATTATCTAAACCCTGTCAATGTCCCATATATCCCCACATTCTCCCAAAAAACTATACCCCACTGTATCTGCATGCACAACATACCTTGCAAGAGTGCAGTTACCAGCTGGTAAATTAAATGCCCTACTATTATAAAGTACCACTATTCTTCATCAACAATTGATACATTGAATTTGGCACGGAGTCGGTAAATAGCCGCGGGTCAGCATCGTTCACAGTCTACTTGGGGACTGCTGAGAAATCTTTTAAAATCGCGATGAGAGGCGCCATTGAGGCCTAAAGCTCTCGGCTTTTTCCTTTCCATCCGAACCACTCTTGAAGCCCCAATAACAAACAATTTCCCTACAGAAACACCGCCACCGGACACGTCGACCTTTTTAAGGTTAACATTCTCAGCACCACGTGTCCTGCTTGTAAGGATGAATCGACCGCATGTCAGGCAACGGGTCTGCTTGGGGGAGGAGAGCAGTGAGGTAAGTGACAAGGTCTAGACAGAGTAGTCGTGGCAAAGTAGCGGATACAAAGGCACGGTGGGGGATGATGATGTACTGATCGTTGACCCCCTTCCTCGTTCCAGAAGGCGGTTTACTTAAGTGACCTCTTCCTTCCTGATGGCCCTGACACCGCAGCCCTAAATGCCATATGGACTGCTGCTCAGTGGGAGATGCTTTGATTCTGTATGGAAATGGCTTGATTTGGAGTCTAATATTTCTGTTGCCATCATCATGGGGACTGGTGGGCCTTGGTGGGCCTTTTCGGCAGGCGCAGATCTTAAGGAGTGGAGCGGGAGCATGATCGAGGAAGGCGACCTGAGCAAACAGATAGGGAAAGCACTGAGTTCATATCGTTGAGCCACCGATGCCGCAGAAGCCCGTCATTGCAGCAGTTAATGAGCTCGACTGCGACATTGTTCTTGCCGCAGAGGAAGCCCCCTTTGGACTCCCAGAAGTACGTCGAGGAGTTGCAGCTATTGGAGGCGCACTCTCACGGCCTTATCAGCACCATTGGTTTGCAGAGAGGGCTTCAGAGTTTGCACTTACTGTTGACGCTGTTAGTGCCGCTGAACCACGAAGTTGGGGCATTGTCAACCGTGTCGTTCCTAACGACAGCTTGGGAAAGCAGTCAGTGTTGCAGAGGCCATTTCAAGGAATAGTCCTGATTCTTTCATCTGCACTAGGTCAAGTCTGAGACAACGGTGGGAGGTCAGCGATGGCGACCGCCGATATCGAGGGGGCAGTTGTTGAATCACTGGAGAAGGAAGTTGAAGAACTATAGAAGGGAGAAAAAATAATCCAAGGGCTCAAGGCCTTATCTGAGAAACGGGAGCCCAGGTGGAAAGGCAGTAGGCTCTGAGAGGACTAGTACTATCGTATACTGAATCAATAGTAGATTTCTATCCGTGACCCTAATGATTCTGAGATGAAATCAAGTCAAAACTTTGCTACCGTTGTATGCCCTTAACCACCTTTCTCTCCCCCTTCACACCCAATATGATTAATTTCATACCATTTTTCAACACAGTAGTTATCGGGAGAAAATGCGGTTTACTTGATCAGTCTTTTGCGCAAAGCCATGAGGGCTCAGAGCGCCTCCATTGTGAACGATCTTGATATGGCAGTCGGCGACAGTGCGGGCTCCAGCCCTTCGTTCCAAGCACACTGATCGAGAAACTCGAGCTTGTAGCCAAGATCCAGGTTGTTCTGGAGCTCATTGACTCGCCAGGAATGTTGAACTCGGCGAGGTTGTCAGCGGTTATGTCGTCCACTGCACCAGCAATAGCGAGACAGTAGCTCTGGTCAATGCCGTCCCCAATAGCGCCTGAAGCATTTCCGACGTGAATCGGGGGCTCTTTTTTTTCTTCAAATATGTTAATTTGTTTCAATAGGACAGAATATACACATAAATTTGACAGTCTGATCGTTGACGTCGATCTGCTAGCTGGAGCCTTCAAATGGCGTAGCCGCTCACGCCATGTACCTCTCTCCACCCATTCATAAACCGGCCTTGTGCCGGCCACAAGGCCTTGATCAGAAGATGGAGGAGCGGGAAATTTATTCATGGGGTGGAGATATCACCACGGCAGAGAAAGCGGAGATGTTGCGGGGTTGCAGACCGTCGTTTTGTCGTCCCAGTAAACCGGTCAGCTAATGATTCATTGGGTTCAGACCCCTGACGCCTGGAGCGAAAATTGGCCCTCGCTTACGTCGTTGCACAAGGCAGCTGATGGGTTCCTTCAGAACAGGTCGTGATAAGCTCAGTCACAGTGAGTCCAGGTCTTGAGGTGTATAGATCTCGCGGAATGGTATAGTCGAGACGATATTTTGCTGTGGCCCACCAGCAGCCTAGGCCTCCAGCAAAGCGCCTCTCACGACAAATGCATCTTGGGTTTAGGGTTTTTATAAACCTTACCCTATCAGCAAAAGGCCTTGCATAAAAGCTCAAGCCCGATCATGAGTATTGGGAACTCATCCTTCCAAACAACGTCGAGTTTCTTGAAACTGTTCAAGATATTCTTTGGGCAGGAGGCGTTGTCTGTCCCATCAACCATGCCCTCAAAACGATTGGATCAGGCCATGGTCTAGCCATGTGTCGGCCACGCTTCTTCGCAGCGTATAGTGAGGCCTTATCCAATACAAGATGCCATCCACGTTACAGACCATCAGTTGATGAGGGAGGTTGTGGAGTGGCCGTCACCAGTTGCCCTGGCAGTGATTAGACATCCAGCAAACGGCCACTTGCACGTCCCAGACTTTCTTTCACGGGCCCCCCTCGCCATTCTGTATTTAGACACAACCAAACGTCTCGCCATAATCCACCGGGTCATCCGGAAAAACAGGCAAGCCGAAAGGTTCCTCCTGACTCATCATAACTTTGTGACCAACGTATTGCAACTGCGCACGATGCGACTCAGTTCCACTCTGCATCTTGCACCGTCAGTTTCACGCGGTAGGCTCACATCGCCATGACGATGATGCCTCTCTTCCTTGCGCCATACACGGGGGATGTACCATCACGCTATGCCTTATAACCTCGAAGGCTTTGCCAAACTTGTGGGGTTGGTTCAGGCAATAAGCTTCCAGGGTGTGCCATCAATCGTTCTTCAGCTTGCCAAGTCATAAGTTACTGGGCATCATGATTTTTCCAAAGTGGCCATTCTCATTGCTGGAGGTGCGCCGTTAAAGAATAACGATCTAGGCATGCTCATGTCACGTACTCCTGGACCATGATACAAGCATATGACATGACAGAAGCGGCCGGTTATGTCGCGTATCGACGACTAGGAGAGATGATAACTAACGGTTGTATACGGTGTTTGCTCTCCGGAATCGAGGCGATATTGGTCAAGGAAGAAAGTGGATGTACTGGGAGGGTCCCGTGAACTTTGGATCCGCGTACCGAATATCAACATCGGGTTATGTCTTCAACGACGAGGCTGAACGCAAGGCCGTTCCTGAGCCTGGATGGTATAACACAGGGGACATCTGTACTGTTCGCCCCCCAAGGGTCGCCTCTCCATGTTTTTGAAGACAAAGAGCTTGGTTAAGTACAAGGGTTTCCAGGTATCGCCTCAGGAGCTAAAGTAGTATCTTGACTCCCACCCCGACGTGGCTGAAGCAGGTGTGGAAGCTCTGTGGGACGATTCTCAGCTGACAGAGCTTCCCCCTACCTGGGTGGCACTGCAGCCGCATGTGACAAACAAGCTCGAGGAGCACCCACTAAGCGTGCTAGACACAATACATCAATGGTTTGATGGGCAGGTCAGTGGGTACCAAAAGCTCAGGAACGGATTATGAATGTCTAAGCTTCCCACGGGCAAGATATTGCGTGAGAAATGGTCGAGATTAAGCAAAGGCTGTGCTCCCTTGGAAAGCTGAAGACAAACCAGTAGGTAGCCCAAGAGAAAAACTTCCACTTTTGATATAGTGGTACTCTTCGGTACGAATAGGGAGGCTTGATAACAAAAAAGGCACTTAGATCAGTCAAAACGAAACGCGTAGAAATTCTCCAGCCGCTCGTCATAATCCGAGAGTAATGTACAGCCATGATACGCTTGCTCTTCCTCACGCCTTGGCCTTTCCCTCGGCCTCGAGCTCCCTCTCAGCCTGCTGGTAGTACTTGGCTGTGTCGACGCCATGCTGGTTGTGGTTGACAAAGTTGAACCAGGGGACCACACCCATGAAGAGGGCAGAGTACCTGCTCTGGCGGGCAGCGATGCCCTGCATGTGGGGCGTGAGCTGACTCTCGCCGTACAGAGACTCGCCCTTCTTGACCTTGTCCACCATTTCCCTCATGTCGAGTTCAACCTCGCGGGCGTTTTCTGTGGCGCCGTAGAATCGCACTATTGTTGATGTCGTCGTTGAGGTCCCATCATGTCAGTCATGTTTAGTCTGAGAAAGCAATCCGGGGGAAGCGGGGACAGAGTGGGTCATGATAACATACGGCTCGAGCGCTGGTAGAAGATGAGGAAACCACCGGTGAGACCGATAGCACCGGCTAGACGAAGGACCTTGGGGAATCCTCCCTTGCCGACGTGTGAAGGAGCAAACTTCTCGAGGGTCAGCATGGCGACCGGGGCAAAGGCAGCCGCGAGGCCCCCTACGATGTAGTCGGACATCCTGGCATATCCAACAACACGCTTGAAATGCCTATCGCAAAAAGTACATGTCAGCTCCTTGTTATCAGAATCTATTGGTACGCCAATTGCTCTATGGTCGTTGCTGAAAGCACAGGGAAGCAGGACGGACGTACGGGTCGTTGTCAATGAGCTATATGCGACCGAGGGTGGTTAGTCCTTGCTTGTCTCTTGTGTCTCGCTCCTTGGTTAGGAGCCTAGTCAATTTATAATTCCACTCACCGGGTAGTCAGTCCGAAGGGCCTTGGAAGGCCCAGAAAAGGTGGCGGGCTGCTGCTTGGTCGCGTTGTCAGCCATTGTTGCGATTGTCCGGTTATCCCCAGATTCTGGTTTCCCATGGGGTTGAGGATCCAGTTGATGCCTTTAGAGCCAATTGACTATGGGGAAGATGTAATCAAGTCACCTGATCATGGGAACTGTTGGAACAAGCAACTGAGTCATCCGCCGGAATAGGTTGTTCCGGCCCGATCGGCAGTACCCTAGCGATAAAAGGCTACCTTTACTGTCATAGATAAACTACTCCTAGATTAGGTAAGCGGGACTCGACTATAAAACCATTAAGTCTATCGCTATAATTATAATAAGATAAGAACTTAATACTATATAATACCTTACCTGCCTTTAACGTATATAAGCGTATTAGCAGTGTGTTCTTACTAAAGTCCGTATATATTTTAACCTAATAATAGTTATAACCCCAAAGAATAATGAATACTTACTAAGAGAAGTCTTATATATATTAGATTATTGTTATACTTTTTTCTATCTTTCTAGGTGACCTGAAAAAGCAGAGATGTCCTTAGTGTGACGTTAGGGTTAACTCTAAGCTATAGGGTAGATAGAGATAATGTCGTTTTATATTGGCGAGATAGTTAGGATGTCGTACTAAGCAATAAGGTAGTTATAGTTATAGGTACTAATTATAGAAGGAACTAGGGTTCTAAAAGAAGCGTTAACTATATTATTAATAGCTAGGTAGAGAGTGACTATACTATAGAAATAAGGTTAACTATATACTAGATTTAGATCCTTTAGATTGTAGTGAGCTTTAGTATAGATCGTAGTGATCTATCTAAGGGATCACGGTGAGCCACGTAGGGGATCACCGTAATCTATCTAGGGTGGTTGTAAGTGAATGTAGGAGTGATAAGTAAGAAAAAATATAGAGTACACGTGAGGGCCGCATAACGGGTCGTAACACTTAGTTGTTAGATTCGATAAGGACGGTGTCGGATCTCGTGGCTAGAGTGTGTGTGTTTATTTACTTTAGGGAATTAACCGTCCTAATAAGGGATTTAGCTATTTAGATATTAACACGCTTAGTAGCGTGTGTGAGAACACACTACTAACACGCTTATATGGTTTACGACCCGTTATGCGACCTTCACGTGTAAATAGATCACACTTATAGGTATAGAAATCGGGGTTATTATGCTATTGATTATTAATAATAACCATACGTAGGGGTAATTGTGACTGTAAAGGTAGCCTTTAATCACTAGGGGACTGCTGACCGGGCCGGAACAACCTGTTCCGGATGATGACTCAGCTTCTTATTCCAATAGGTTGGTACATCACGCGATTTACTAGTGAGCAAGTACCCTGTACTTTGTGCAAGTCACATCGCGTCGCACCACCCCGCCAATTTACCTTGGACGCGTTTTGGGGAACATTACCGCTGTATGTGCAGCAAACCGTTCACTGTTTGATCCTATACAACTATCTTCTTTTGCAGCTGAGTTGTACAGGTTTATTCTTCCACGATTTTTTTTAACAGCATGCCTTCAGCCGCAAGCTCCAAGCGGCCGAACCAGCCACGACATGATGACATAGACAACTACGACGCCGGCGACCTGTCGGACGATCCATTCCTCACTCCAAGTCCCCAAGCCAGCAAGAAACGTAAAGATGGCCCTCAATCAGGTCTAGGTATCGACAAGGAGGTGTCCGTCCAGAAGCGCGTCCGCGTGCCCAACATCAAACTAGATGAGGACCGACTCTTAGGCCCGGGAGGAATTCCCAAGCTACGATCCAAAGCCTCCACTAGCCTGAAGCTCAAGGGCAAGGGTCACGAATTCGGCGACGCGGCACGACTCCTCTCATTCTACCAGCTCTGGCTGGACGATTTGTTTCCTAAGGCCCGGTTTCTTGATGCCCTAGCTATGGTGGAAAAGGCGGGGCATAAGAAGAAGCTCATGGCGGCACGGCATAGCTGGATAGATGAGGGAAAGCACAAGGCGCTTGGCGGGGACAAAGACGCCGAGGTAGCAATGGCAGCACCGGAAACGCTAGAGCCTAAACTGCCCTCCACGTTCACTGCCCCTTCTGAGCAGCAGTGCCAGCAGACTCCCCAGCAAGACGACTATCCCGATGATGACGACCTATACGGTTCTACACCTCAAAAGAAGAGTCCTCCTGTTCACGTCGATGTACCGGGAAGCGATGAGCTAGATGGGCTCATGGCAGAGGCTGAGCAGCGTGATGCGCCGCAAAGCAATGGACGGCAAGATCAGATTGCTGTACAGCAAAATGAGCCTGAGGATGATATGGATGCCTTGGTGGCTGAGGCGGAGAATCACGATAGGAATGGAAAGTCGGAGGGGGCAAGAGATCCAGACTTTGCAGAGGAAGAGGCGGCCATGCAAGAAATGGATGGACTGTGGTGATTTTGTACGAAGGGCTTGTGTTTGATATAGTATCTGCAGCGATGACGTTTTATGGTATTGCATGGTGAATAGACCATCTGTATAATGGAGGTGTATTAGACGATTGAAAATGTCCCAAGACTTGACTTTATCGCATAGTGATTGGGAAATAATGGTGTCCAAGACTACAAGTTATATAGCACAACGGTCAGCATGTCATCCAGAGAGCTAGGACGCCCTCTGCGTCTACATGAAGAGCAAGCGCAATAGAAAATATTGCAGATGGTAAAGTAATGGTAATAGTTCCTCTACCTTGAGGTAGAGGTTTGGTTGTGATTTTATGCCCCAGGGGCAGTTATATATGATTACATCGTTGATCCATGCACAGGGGGCGCATTTGGTTTGATTGAATCCCAGATTCAAACCAGTCAACTGCTGCGATGTTTATCCCCTTAACCAATTGCGCCATTTTTCCCATTGTAAAACCCGATGCCCACCGCCCAAACCTAGAAGAAAAAAGGCTAAACACACAAAAATTGTCATACTGTCATAACGAACAAACAGGAAAAGCCCTATTCTTGCCCTCTTCAAGAACTTGCAGACATGGTCCACATGCTCCCTTGGCTGACGAGATCCGTCTCGGAACTCAGTATCTTGGGCTGTTCACTCAGAGCAGGCCCAAGGATGGAGCCACCATTGCCCAACCGCTGTCGCTCTACACGAATGGTCCAAAGCAGCGCGAGGAGGGATTCCCTCGACGGTAGGCCAGTACACCTAAGACATTCCGTCAGCTCATCGGTGTGGCACGACTCGACCGACCGGAACTGGACCCCGAACTGCTCGTCGTGACCCTCAGTTACCAACCGCAATGCCACGAACGTCGCATCCCATAGTGGACGCGCCAGGTTCGGGCTGCTGGACAGGATTTTCCGCAGGATCTTGACTCGCAGGTTCGATGGCTTCCAGCTCGAGGCCGAAAAAGTCGGCGCCGGAGTCGTGGGCTGTGACGAGGTCAGAAGTGTGGTGGTTAGGCTCCTCGCTGAGCCAGTCGCTGATGTCGAAGTCTTGGTTCGCAAATAGTTCCGATGCGTCACCAGCCAGATAATCGTCGCCAATAGCGCTGGACTGGGGAGAAGAGAGAAGCCCGCTTTCAAGGACATGGCTATCTGTGATAGCGGCCTCTGGCATGCCGAAAAAACCGAGGTGGAAATGAGACTCGCCAGACAGGTCATCCATGCCAGCTTCTGGGTTAGCGCCGTCGCGGGAGCCGACTCTGACATTTGACACGGCAGGTCGCACAACATCACTGCAGGACGTTGTGTCAAGTCGGAGTCAGCGGCCGCGGCCAGCTGCTGGGGAGGCTTGGGGGATGACTTGTCAGAAGGTTCCTCGGCGGCGTCGGTAGCCGGGGGGGAGAGGGAGGCTGGGTTGACAGTGGGCGGTGTAGCACACTCAGAGCCGTTCTCGGCAAAGAGCTGTGATGAGAGGGTGTGCTTTAGGGGCGAGGGACCTCCGGCCGGGATACCCGAGTCGTGGCGGTGTTTGCTGAGCTCCTGGACGAGTGCAAGGTTGGTCTCTCGGACTGAGGCCAGAAGTTGCTCGAGTTCCTGATTGCGCCTCTCTAGCGCTTCAACCTCTTGCCTCTTACGCTCGCGTGAGGACTGGGCAGCACGGCGATTTCGCAGGACACGCTCAACCCGACGCTGCTCCTTTTCGTCTTCGGTCTTGGCCCTCTTCCTCGGAGGAAGGTTCGTTTTGGGCTCGGGAAGAACTTGACCCCACGACTTGCGCTTCTTGGTCTTCTTGTCACCGCCTTCCGTCTCGGTCATGTCTTCGGGGACAGCTGACAGGCGAGAGAGGCTGCCATTCTCGGAAAAAGCCGGGGTCATGGCGATGCCAGTAGGTGATTCTGGGCCGTCATCGAACAGAGACGTATATGAGTCCTCGCGAGCAGACAGTAGACTATCTGCCGGTGAGGGCTGCATAGCAGTGGACTGTTCTGCGACCATGGTGTGGGTGTGGAGGTCGTTGTGTATCGGTTACCAACGGTGATAGTGTTGTTGAAAGCGTGTTATGAAACAGCCAGTATCAAATAGAAGAGGGGAGAATGAAGGATGGCCTCAGAAACATGGAAAGATATAATAGATAGGTAATGAATGGCATTGAGAGTCTGGCCACCGCCGCTCGCTCGTTCTTGGGTGAAGTAACCGTGACTCACTAGCAATGAGTCAGCTGATAGAGATGAGTAGAGGGCCAAGCAGCCAGTAAGAGCGAGCGGGTCAATGAATCCTCTTGATTGTTTTTGGCTGGTGACCAAGAAGTAAGTAGTGTGAGTTGAAGCCAGTTGTTCTTACCGTGGCTATGGCGTCCCTTTATGTCAAGGACAGGGTGGCCGTTTGCGTTCCTGCCTCAGGCATTACAGGACAGCACAACTACAGGCACAAAGCAGCGCCTCAGACGCCGATTTGTGTCAGCCCCTCCTGACCCACGCATCCCCAAAGGTTTCGCACCAAGCCATTGTGGCCATCCACGGTCAACGGGTCGCCAGAGAGCACGTCGTACATTTGGTACATATTACAGCCTGGGTCCACATGGCTTCGTTGGTGTGCATCCATACAGATCGTAGCCCCGGTGGACTATCGCCAATCACTTCTGAGCACTGCCTTCATTATCTGCGTGAGCCCTGAATCCGCCATCCCAAGGAGCCCATTCAGGAGAGCCCGTCCAGGAGTCAGGACTGAGGAGAGTCAGCTAACTTTTCCTCCCACTGGCTACTACGGATGTGGGTTGCATCCCAACCTGCAAGATCTACAAAGAGGGCTCCCCCGAGTCAGAAGCTCCAGCCAAGCTCCAGCCCCTGAACCGGCGGCCCTGAACTATATACAGGCTCGAGAGGAAGTATATGGTATTGTGTGTGCTCGTACAACTACTGCGGGCTGACCAAGTCAACGCCACCTACTACGCATACGCCGTGCTCGTATTACGAATATTATCGCCATAATATGACAGGCTCGCATATCCACGTGTAGGCTCACATACTAACACCTACTCGTGTGCTCGACAAAGAATTGCCCACCATCTTCACGCCGTAGCCAACAAAGCATAATCGCTCACAATCACGATGTGTTGGACACAACCATAGACGGTCACCACTAGCCGACGCGCGGCAGAGTTCAGTTTACCGACTTGAAACGCAACGGGGCCCCATCCCCTTTTTCGCCCCTTACGTCGCACATCGTCGAGTACGCAGTGGATGGCTCCGCCTGTCCCGTAGTATCACTATTTTTATATGTACGAAGTATTACTAGTAGTAATATTATTCATCAGTGTTACACCAACACTCAAAAGTAATGACGCTACTACAGTAAGTACGACGACGATGTTACTTAATACTGCATGTACAAGTGCGAAGCATGTCTAAGTAGTAGTGGGAGGAGTAATATCGACTCTACTCATGCGCCGTAGACTTGTGATCGACGGCAGTCCTGAATCCCCGTCGTATTCGTACCAAGCACTGTGACATACGGTGTAGCCTGTAGGTACGCGGAGTATGGGGCCAGCATACCCAGCCTTTCGTAGCTGGTCAGTCAGCCAGCCAGAATGTTCCACCGGAAATCAGCTGGCATTCATTTCCATCTATATTACTACGGAGCATTCGTAATAATACTGCGCAGACCTATGATGATTGCAGTAGGAAGTAAAGCATTAATATCCATACTCCGACAGCAAGTAAATAACTTCGTACGTCGGACCGCTTTTTCATATTCGGAGCCTACGGGGTAAATGGTCTTGTGCACGCCACTCGGATGTAATAATATATTGGATGCAGGATAAGGAATGGCTAGACTAGTATTATTAGCTGATAAACCCTTAGACAAAGGGGGGGCGACAACAAACACGAGACATACAGGCGACTGGTTGAGGCAACTAATAACTCCTTGGCTTCTTTGGCTTTCCTCTTTCAGCAGTTGATAGGACACAGATGCAACCCATACAGTTCAAGGTCCGACCGTACTTGTCGGCATTCTCAGCGCCTTCAGGGTACGAGTACGCCGTAGGATACAGTAGAAACGAAAGAGACAAAAAAGACCTTATCGCTCCCAAAAATAACATCATGCACACTACGGAGTATTACACCCTTAGCCACAACCCACAGATGCGTGTACAGATACACAATACAGTGCGCACCATAGTAATTATATATGTAGCAATACCCTTGCACCTCTGTTGTAGACTTCTTGCTAATAGTATTACATTTACGGAGCTGCATCTTGTTAACCCCCTACACCGTAATATTCGTACGCTCTTGCGAGAGCTACGGTGTACTACTATGTAGGTGTGAGATTCTCAACCTAGTGCACGTATTACTGTCTCTGATGTTAGGTAGTGGGACGCTGCTCCCTAGCTGTGCATCTTGCCCTCCAACACCATATTCCTAAAACATTAGCTGCCAACCACTATATAAACATCAACATTCGTATCGTCAGTCTCCTGCGTCAATAGACGCGTGTTTCCGAAGCATAAATATATATTAATGGCTGTTCCACCAGCTGAGGAAAGGAGCCTAGGATCAAATACCTTTTTTTCTCGATTGATCCTTGACATGTGATTATCTCTGCTGTCTACACTTTTGCCATATGGGTTACTGTAACTGTAGTCCAAAAAATATAGATACAATGATATAGGCTTCATGGTCTCTTCGGAAGCATATAGGCCCTCGACTGTGATCCAGTATGGCACTCAAGATTGTGTATGACTAAGCCGTCAGAGGCTGCTTCCATATCACAATTTCATAGATAGATTTCCTTTCCTTTCAATCAATCAAGTACAAAGACACATATCCATCAACCCATAAAGTACCAATAGGCAGAGACTATTGTATTCACGTCTACGGGTCATTGTGCGTTGTCGCTAGTAGGAAGCACACAAGTGTCGACATAGGGTAACTGCGCCACATACAATATGTGGCTCGCGTAAAATGTAAAAGGTGGCGTAGAGTCTGGTTACATCACAAACGTGCCCCTCTTCTCTTTCCACGATTGCATCGCCATCAACCTTTAGGCACCTAAGTCATTTGACAACAGCCACAAACACACACACACTGTCTGACCTGATCCGACAAAAATAAACACGAATACTGCTTATCATGTCGAACCGTCAAGCGGCCCGCGACATGAACGTCGAGTTCCAGGCTCGTTTCCAGGCCAAGCAAGCCCGGCGAGAAGCCCAAAAGGCCGCCAAGCAGGACCCTTTGTTGAAGAAGCAGATCCAAGAGCTCCTCAAGAAGGGCGAGACACAAAAGGCTTACCAAAAGGCCAAGATTCTCCTATCGAAACAGGCCCTCGCCCAGCAGATGGATCAGATTGCCGACATGGCCGAGCTCAACTCGTCGCAGATCCAGGCTAATAATGCCATGAACCGCATGACCCAGATGATGGGGCAGTCGTCGCGTGTCATGAATGCTGCCCAGAAGAACGCCAACCCTGAAAAAGTAGCTCGCATCTCCGCCTATGTGCATGTTCCCCTTCTGTTGTTACACACTGCTGACTGGTATCGGGTAGACCCTCCTCACCCTTGAACAATTCAGACAGCAAAACGAGGAATACGCCATATCCAACAACATCTACCAAGACGCCATGACTCAGTCCACGTCCGCCCAGGTCCCCGAGGATGCCGTCCATGAGCTTCTCGGAAAACTCGCTGATGATGCTGGCATTGAGCTCAGCAAGGAACTCAATCAGGCCACACCCGCCAACGCTGAACCTGCCTCGGCTGCTGCTGAGCCCTCGGCCGAGGAGGAGGATAAGCTCCAACAGAGACTGCGTGCCCTGAGGGCTTAATTTTAATCTCATGGCTGAATACTGCAATTTTCAGGGTTGATTTCCTTGTTTCATTGTCTGGGTCTTTCGTTTTTCAATCACATTGGGAACAACAAACATGGTTGGCGTTGAGCGACTTGCGCTGGGATTTTCGGTTGGGATCACGTCTTTCTTTTAAATAACTCATGGTTATCCATTCGCCCTTTCCTTTCTCTATTTCTTCATTCATGACACTAAACCCTATTTCCACGCTTTTCTTTATGTAAATATTATTGCAATGCAGGCATCGCTATTTAAATCAAGACATATAGACTTGACCAAAACTTTCATGTTTCCCAGGCGTTCCCGCCCGGGAAATCCACCCGAATTTCTGGCTCCCTTACATGTACAAGCTTGCTACAGCCGTAATATCCCTCTTGATCATCTCCTGGGCCGTCTGCATCTTCTGATACAAGTCTGGATCACCGACAATGCGCGCTGCGTTCTTGACCTCGCGACACGTCTCGTCGAGTCGCGTGATAGTGCGCACAATGGTTCCCTCGAGTACGTCGGTAAGCGCCGTAATGTTCTTGAAGCTCATGCCCCTGGCCCACTCATATACGACCTCCATGATGCCGAAGCGTGGCCTGGATACAAAGTCGTTGCTGTCGTCGGTCGGTTGGATCACTTGGAGTCGTGTCTGAACGTCGTTGACTTTCTCGGATATCCGGATAATTGTCTCCTTACCGCGCTCCAGGTTGCCCGTCAACACAGGCTCAACCGTTGTCTTCTCTTGGAATACAAAGGCCGATAGTAGAGCCGCAATTTCAGCCGGCTCAAACTCGGCCAGTGCATTATCCAGAATTAGCTCGGTAAGCACGAGTTCGTCACCAGAGTGGATTTCACATGCCACCTTGCCCTTGAGCTGGATACGCGTGGCATCGTCAATAAATCCAAGCTCCGTGAGCACCTGGACTCTCTGTTCATAGTCTGGTAGGAGCTGAAGGTTCTGATCCGACAGAGACTGCTTCAGCTGCGAAATGTGCTCCTTGATGAGCCACTCGTCATGACACATGGCAAACTAGAAAGTAAATGTCAGCCAATGCACTACGTTTCTATATCCTGGCTTGCATGAAAGGAGGGAAACGTATGGGAACTCACGTGCTTAAGGAAGTTGGGGCATTTTGTCACTGGCGACTCGGATACCACCTTGGCTAGGTTAACCCGTTTCTCCATGAGCTCCTGCAGCTGAAAGCTCTTGACCTTTGAAAAGTCCATCTCATCCCACCGATTGTCCCAGGTAGAGCAGATCTCCTGAAGTCGCTTGTCTGCCTTCTGCAGAACTTCGCCGCCTTGGAAGATCTCGGGAATAATGTCCTTGGTAACCCAGTGTGTCAGACATTCGACATCGCTCAGAGGCACATGTAGTGTCTTGATGTGCACACGTCGCTTTCCCTGGGGTAATTTATGGAAATATTTTCTGAATTCCGGGATGAATGGGAGCTGGTCACTCGCATCTCGTCTCTCCCTAAGAGGCTTGATGGCGCATATGTGCAACGCCGGCTGGTCGGCCGACGACTTCATGCTCATGCCATCCGCCAGCAATATGCCGGCAGTACGAACTCCCTCCCAATTGAAGACGACCAGTCGGTTCTGCGAAAACATACGGCGCCCAACAGGTATGTTGAGAAGTCCCTTGTACAGCTCAAGAGTAGCCTGCTTGAAGTCCTCGGACGCCTGGTGGCACTCAACCATGTGTTCGTCGCATGTGGGGCATGAGTCTTTCTTGACCTTGGCAAGGTCAGCCTGGGCCAGCTTGACATCCTTTTCATGCTCTGGAAGGAGTTGTTGCGTTGCGTGTTCCGAGAAGCTGCGTTTAATCATCTCCTCAATCTTCAACGCTTCTACCCGCAGGAGGTTGAGAATCATGTTGTACGTCAGGCGGAACTGCGAGCGGAGCTTAGATGGCTCGCCTAGGATCATGTTGCGAAGATCTGCGGCGGGCGGTGCTTCGTCGCCTCCAGGGGGTACAATGATGACAGACCCAACAGTATCGAGACCACGACGACCGGCTCGCCCAGCCATCTGCGTGTACTCGCCAGGGAGAAGGTTTCGGAAAGAGTGTCCGTCGTGCTTCCGGTAGCCAGAGAAGACGACAGTACGTGTGGGCAGGTTCAGACCCATAGCAAACGTTTCGGTTGCAAACAGCACTTTGACGAGCGTCTGGGCAAAGAGCATCTCGACAATCTCCTTGACGATCGGAAGCAATCCGCCATGGTGGACAGCAATGCCTCGGCCCAGGAGCTCTCGTAATCTGATGATCTGGGGAAGCTGTCTATCCTCAGGCTTGAGACGCGCAATGGACCTCTCGATAACCATGTGGATGTGGCTTTTTTCAGAAGCCGTACAGAAATCCTGGTTACTCAGAGCATCGGCATTTTCCTCGCAACGCTTCTTTGAGAAGACAAAGATACAGGCGGGGAGGAGAGTCTTCTTCTTGAGGTACTGGACCAGATGAACCCACAGGTTCTTGTCCTGGTTAGCCGACGTAAATCCTCCGGTGCGACCAGAGCGTCCCATGTGGCCAGGCGCGTGGCTGGCACGAGGAGGCCCTCCTCTTCCACGCTGTTGGTTTCCTCCCCTCTGCTGACCTCCACGACTTCCACCCCTCTGGCCTCCCCTCTGAGGGTTGCCTTTCTGGTTACCGCCGGGGTTCCCACCTCGTGTGGCGACCGTTGACTGAGCTGGTCTGTCCTTACCCTTTCCTTGGTATGCTTGGTGGGCATCCTTCCACCCCTTCTCAATGAAATTCTTCTCTGAATCGACAATCTTGTACACGTCCTTGCCGGCCCAAAGATAGTGCTCAAGTGGGACGGGTCGCTTAGGGGTGGAGATGACATATATGTCTTTTTGCTTCGTTCGTCCAACCCATGAGGCGAATTCGTGCGTGTTGGGCACGGTGGCGGAGAGTAGGATCAGGGATACGTGCTCCGGCAGCATGATAATGACTTCTTCCCAGACAACGCCTCGCTCAAAGTCGTTGACGTAGTGGACCTCGTCAAAGATGACAAACTCAACATCACGAATTAAGTCGGCACCCCTGTAGAGCATGCTACGTAGAATCTCAGTCGTCATAATGAGGCAGCTTGCCTCGGGGTTGATCTGGACATCACCCGTCAGGATGCCAACTTCGTCAAAGATTTGGCGGAAGTCGCGGAACTTTTGGTTGCTGAGCGCCTTGATGGGAGATGTGTAAATGGCTTTTGTCATGTGTCTTGCTGCCAGGGCAATGGCATACTCGGCAACGACAGTCTTTCCAGCCGAAGTATGAGCAGCGACAAACACCGAGTCGCCGCATTCGAGATGGTAAACGGCTTCTTTCTGGAATGTGTCGAGTTCGAAAGGCCATTCTCTGGCCATGCCTGGGACAAGTTCGCGGAAATTCGTCATGTCATGCTTAATGTCAACCATGTGCGCCCATTCCCGACCCACCTTCCTCGCACTGGAAGCGGCGAGTATGCCATGGGGTTCGAGCGAGGGAAACTCGATAGGGAGGATGCCGTCGATATCGTCACCCTCACTTTCATCTGCACCTGCCTCATAGGCCAAAATATCTGTTGGTGACTCGTCGCTCCTTCTCCGGTCTGCAAAATCATCATCTAGGCCCACGGGGTCCTCTTCGAGGACTTGGCGCACAGCATGGGCGTCGTTCTGGCCTGGGCCAGACTTTTTGGGAGTGAATTTGATTCCCCTCATCAAACCAGGAGCGATCTCCAAGAGTTTCCCCTGGGGGCCTAGCTGGATCACTTTGTCAAGTTTGCTCTTGCTAGAGCCATCGCCTTCGTAGCCAACAGGGCCATCACCATGAATTTTATCCTCTAGAGCTGCCGTGGCTTTGACACTCTCCAAACCACCCGGGGAAAACGGGAAAAATCCTGCAGCACCCCTCACAAAGTCTGCCCGGCCTCCAGGTTTTCTCAGTAGGCTGGTCGAATTCTTGGCCGTGGAGTTTGCTGCGGGGATCGTGACATTTTTGTAGCCTGTGACGCGACCCTCGAGACCATGACGCTGAAAGAGGGTGGCAGTGCGGCTCTGTGTAGGAGCGACGTTGAAAATTGACGAGTAGTCGGCTTCGGAGTCCCAGCGTTGCTGCAGGCGGTTGAGCCACTCTGACGAGAACTTGACCGATGGATTGAGGAACAATAGCTCTAGGTCCTTCCTGAGTTGATCTGGGTCCTGTGAAGCTTTATGAATAGCTTTTGGGACATACCCGGGAACAGATTCCTCCAAGAGGAGAGAATCTATACTGGCCATGTTTTCTGATTCTGCCATCTATCAAGGGTAAAATTATGGCAGTGAGGCTGTAGATGATGAAGTGAGAGTGTAGTGTTGCCCCACCAGTATTTGGGAACGAGCCCGTGACGTGTGGGCAAACAAAAAAGACGGTTAGTTGTTACTCCACGTCACAAAAATAAAGCATTAAAGAGCTAAAACTGTCAGCGTTTAAACTCACACGGTCAATAGAGAAGTTCCATAGATCCCGAATCCATAGCGCTGTCATTGATATACCGAATGCCTTCTACATTCTTATTTACACGCTTCAACTTTTCTTCGCTTCTATTTAATGCACGCTATTGATTGGTAGTAAATAATACGACCGGTTTCGAACAGAAAGAAATATAGCCAAGGCAGAATAAGCAGAAGCAAAACGCACAAGACGGATACTAACATAATTTCACAAAGCGTATAGTAAACATTAAGTGACTTGCGCCTAGGGTTGTGGTTTTGTAAAAAAATGTGTACACAAGGCGCAATACAAATACAGGTCCAATCCTATCTTCGTCCATCGAAAAAAAAGAACAAATGAGACTTTGGATGCCGCTTTCAAGTGACAGGGGGGCCAATATTCCATACCATCCATGCGTCAAAGCTCCAAGAGGGAGGGGCCAGCATACATCGTGTTTAAAAGCTGAAGTTGCTCAACAGTCGAGTACATAGCTGAATCTCATGAGCCCATTTTACCTCCTTGTCTCCTTGGTCATATCTCTCACTCTTCTTTTTGTCTTCCAAGAAATCAAGAAACGAAAAACAGCAAGGCCCTTACAGGCGGAGGAGCTTGGCAGCCTGAGACTCGATGAGGGCCTCAGTAGGGAAGGACATCTCCTCTAGCTTCTGGGCGTAGGGGGTGGGGACCTCGGCACCAGTGACACGCTGGGCAGGGGCATCGAGATAGTCGAAGCCGTACTCCATGGCGACAGCAAGGATCTCGGCGGCCACACCGAACATAGGGTAGCTAGAGTCGACAACCATGAGGCGGTTGGTCTTCTTGACGGACTGAATGATGGTCTCAATGTCGAGGGGTTTGATGGAGCGTAGGTTGACAACCTCAGCCTCAACGCCGTAGTTGGTCTTGAGGTTCTCGGCGGCAGCGAGGGCCTGGCCGACGCAGCGGGAGGCAGCGACGAGGGTCAGGTCGGTTCCAGCGCGCTCAATCTTGGCCTTGCCGAAGGGAATGACGAAGTCATCTTTCTGGGCAGCCTCGGACATGGGGAAGGTCTGGCCGTACATGAGCTCGTTCTCGAGGACACAGACGGGGTTGGGGTCGCGGATGGCAGCCTTGAGGAGACCCTTGGCGTCCTCGGCACTCCAGGGAGAGACAACCTTGAGACCGGGGATGGAGCCGTACCAGGCTGAGTAGTCCTGAGAGTGCTGGGCGGCGACGCCAGAAGCGAAACCGTTGGGACCGCGGAAGGTGATGTTGCAGGGCTGGATACCACCAGACATATAGAGGGTCTTGGCGGCCGAGTTGACAATCTGGTCGATGGCCTGCATGGCGAAGTTGAAAGTCATGAACTCGCACTATAAAAGCATACAATTGTCAGCTGTTATCTCGCACAGAATAATAGGAGGGCTAAAGGGGAACAGAGTAACTGATGATGGGGAAGTTGAAAAGATGGAAAACATACAACAGGGTTAAGGCCACTCAGGGCAGCACCGACGGCGAGACCGCAGAAGCCGGACTCGGTGATGGGAGTGTCAATGACACGCTTCTCACCAAAACGGTCGAGGAGACCCTTAGTAACCTTGTAGGCACCGTTGTACTGGGCAACCTCCTCGCCAAGGATGAAGACCTTGTCGTTGCTCTCGAGCTCCTCAGCCAGAGCCTCGTTGAGGGCGTCACGGACCGTGTACTCCTTGATGCCTTGGCCCTCAGCGTATGAACGCGACTGAGTCTGCGAGGCACCAAAGTATGCATTGTGAGCGAGAGCAGTGCGCGAAAGCTGAGAGAGGCTTTGAGTCGCGGAAGCCCTGGGAATGATGGACGCCCTGGCCGAAGTGGTGAGGCGAGCTGCCGGTCGGAGGAAGCGGGACATGATGGGCGACACGACGTGGAGACGACGAAAAAGACGGGGAGGATACAAGCTTTGGTGTAGCTTTAGACGGCCGTCCAGACGACGTATCTGAATTTGTCCAGGAGGAGAGGAGAAAAGGAGGGGGGAGGGGGAGAAGGACAAGGGTTTGGACCTGGGCAAAGGAGGCAATTGAAGATAGGATGTTGAGGTTGAGATTTGTTTAGCAGAGGGTAGAGCAACTGCAGAGGGAATTTCCGGGCAGGAGCGGAACCGGAGCTTGATTGGCCTGTGCTATTGCTTTTTTCCATTAGGGGGCAGAAGCGATTGGTTAAGTGGGTCCTAATAGCACCCTGAATGGTACATTGGCTGCTCTAGCTTCTATTATCTCTTCGGAAACTCTTCTCGGTGCCTCTTTTCGGAGTTTTAACAACCGTCTGTTGGGGCCACAGGCAGCTCAGACTAAGCCCAACCGGGCGGTACGTAATAGTACTCTAATAATCATCGTTCTTATACCTTGCTATTATCGTCGCCAAGTCCACTTCAGATGCCTCTGGAGGCTCCTACACCGCACGATATCTCAGCAGTAGTGTATCTTTTGAAAAGCTCAAGACAGCATTATCTATTGCTTGGCAATGGCACTGACCATGATGTTTCCCATGGTCTGTTTCAAGTCGCATGGAGAACCAGTAGTTGTGAAAGAAAAGAGCCCAGAATTCAAATTCTGTCTTGATATAGTAATTAATATCCTGTCCTGATATAGTGATTAATAATTATATATTGGGTTTACCCCTTCCGTAAAACACCTTTTTATGCCCGTGTTATATTGCCCTGTTTATCCTGCGTGTCTGCCTTCTCGTAAGTCTTTTCTCTTTTCTTTTGAATCGAATGAATTACCCTGTTTACTCAGGCTTGCGACCAACCATGAGGTACATGGGAGTAAAGAGGTGCTCCTTGCCACCAGCAACCAGGCAGTCAGCGGCAAGGGCCAGGCTGTCGGCCGTTTTCTTGGTGCCAGCGGGAGCCAGCTTGAGCGTCTCCATGACACCGGCAAAGCCGTGGGCGAGAGTACGTCCCCACTTGGTCATGCGGACAATTGTGAAGATATCGTAGATGGACTGGATGTAGCGGGTGTCGCCAGACAAGGGCCACCACCAAGGGAAGGGGTCGTCGCGCTCAGCAAGGTCATCGTTGATCAGGAGTTCGAAACCGGCGGCCTTCATGGCGTCGAGGGCAACCTCGACCTTGCACATGTTGGAGATACCGTCACCCTGCTCAATACCGAGACGGATCTCACGGTGGTGAAGGTTGTCGTTATCGTATTTGTCTGTCATGAGCCACTCGTACACACCAAAAATACCGCCGGGCTTGAGGACGCGGAAGATTTCGCTGTAGATGCCCTCGAGCGTGGGGGCGTGGACGGTAGCCTCAATGGCGTAGACGGCGTCGAAGCTGTTGTCAGGGAACGACATTTGCTACGCGCAGATATCAGTTAGCATATAATTGAGTATTTTATATCCTTTTCTTCTGGAGCTAAGACCAATTGCTCACCATAAAGTCGCCCTTGACAAAGTCGAGCTGGTTGGACATGCCTTCCTTGGCAGCATAGTGGGTAGCGCGGTCAATCTGGTAGTCGTTGTTGTTCAGGCCGGTGATGTGGGCGCCGGTGAACTTGGCAATCTCCCTGGCAGGGCCACCAACGCCGCAGCCAACATCAAGGACCTTCATGCCCTCACGGATGCCAATGCTATGGGCGAGGTAGTGCTCATGACGAGCAATAGCCTGGTAAAAGGGCTCGCCGATGGAGTAGCGGCAGAAGTGGAATGACTGCCCCCAGCCGTACTCGTACAGATCGGTCGCCAGGTTGTAGTAGCTAAAAGAGAACAACACTAGTCAGCCACATCGCTCCCGAGAAGGAGGGGGAGGAGAAAGGGGGGGAGGGAAGGGGATTAAAGATGATTACTCACTGCCTGGTCAGAGTAGCGTACTCGGCAACACGGGCCTGTAAGGGCAAATGTTAGACAAGTGTCAAGACACACAATCATGGAAACTCACAGCGCGCGTCTCCTCAGTCTCGTCTTTGGCAGCCTGATTGTCCCAGTGTTTGAAGTAGTCGTCAACAGCAGCCTGCTTGGCAGCAGAGCCCTTGGCGAACATGGCGGCAATACCACCCTTGGCCTGGGCAGACTTGCCGTGCATGGCCTTGTTGAATTCGGCATCACGCTTATGATCCTCGCGCTCTAGGTTGGACATTGTGGACGAGGCAACCATGCTGAATATGATTGCTTATTTGAAAAAGGGTAGGGGAGAAGAAGAAGGAGAAGCAGATGGACAGAGAAGGTTATAGGAATATATAAGCGAAAAATTTCTTTGGCAAAACTATAAATAACAGAGCTTCAAAGGGGGTGGGGAATGTGTCGGGCAGTAAAGGGAGGAGGAGAGGGCGAGTCTGGGGCCTTTCTATTGATATTTATCTTTCCCGTCTGAATTTCCCTGGCTAACGGTATTATCACAGCAATTTCCACGACCCTTTCTGGCCCCTGGATTCTCATGCGATCTCACGTCCTCTAGCTCTTCAGGCTAGTCCTTATGTGGAAAGGCGCACTGTCCAATCTCGCCCCAAGGGGTAAGCGGTCGACGTACAGTTATTGATACGAATACGAACGCGAATCAGCGTTTGTTCTGGCATGTGAATCCAAGTCCCTCCACGCGGCAAGAAGTACGAATACGCTTGCCTCATGTAGAGTAATCATACTCTGACAAAAAAATGAGTTAACCTGATGTTTCCATTCGCTTAAAGTTCGGATGATTTGGGCCTTTTCTTTCCCTATCTTATCTTATTGATACCTCATGACCTTCATGACTAAGCGTAGAGCCTTCCTCATTTTACGAGTACGCCATATGTAGAATCGTATTATTAGTATTTATCTATGCCGTACTCGTATGTGAGGTCAGAGTTCCTGCTCCACGCCATTCACGGGCTTGTTTATTGATTTGGCCTGCAACAACTTCCAACATTGCAACCATGCCGCCGCAAATTAAACAGGATCTCAATCGCTCGGGCTGGGAGTCGACCGACTTTCCTTCCGTGTGCGAGAACTGTCTGCCCGAAAACCCATACGTCCAGATGCTCAAAGAAGACTACGGCGCAGAATGCAAATTGGTAAGCTCATTGTTTCCCTCCCCTCGGTCACACCGATAGTTGTGTGCCTCTCTGAGGATGGAGGATTCTGTATGCTGACTAACAATCAAACAGTGTACGCGACCCTTTACCATCTTCAGCTGGAGTGCGACGCGCGCCCAGGGACGCAAGAAGCGCACAGCCATATGTTTGACATGCGCGCGGCTAAAGAACTGCTGCCAGAGCTGCATGCTTGACCTGTCCTTTGGACTGCCTATCGCTATCCGTGATGCTGCTCTCAAGATGGTCGCCCCGGGACCGCAGTCAGACGTGAACCGCGAGTACTACGCTCAAAATAACGAGAAACTCATCGAAGAGGGTCTGGGTACTGAAGAATACGAAAAGACGGATGAGAAAGCCCGTGAGCTGTTGGGGCGTCTGGCGCAGAGCAAGCCCTACTTTCGCAAAGGTCGCGCCATCAGTGAGGCCGAGGTCGAGGCTGACAGGAGGTCGTCAGCGCACGGGAACCCCGCCGTGGGTGCTGGTATGGGGGGTCCAGGACCTATCCGCACACGCGACACCAAGGCGGCCAACGCTGCGGGCGCCAAGACAAGGTCCAAGAGCCGGCAGGCATTCCCTAGTGCTGCCCAGCTGCCCCCGTCACCCCGCGACTGGATCCCCCCAGCGGACAAGAACATCATGTCTCTCTTCGTCACGGGCGTGGAGGATGATCTGCCCGAATACAAGATTCGCGACTTTTTCAAGGTCCATGGAAAGATCAAGAGCCTTGTGTGTTCACACATGTCGCACTGCGCTTTTGTCAACTACGAGACTCGCGAGGCCGCCGAGAAGGCTGCCGCCGCCTGCCAGGGCCGTGCTCTGATTTCCGGCTGCCCTCTCCGCATACGGTGGGGTCAGCCCAAGGCCATCGGCACTATGGACAAGCAAGGACGCGCAGAGATGCTGCGCGATGCCAGGGTGGGCCTTGCAAAGAAGAGGCAAAATCAGCAGCAGCAACGGGCCGTCGAAGGAGGTCTACCCCAAGACGCTAGAGCTTCAAATACCCTGGCAGAACCTGCCGTCGCTCTCCCTCCTGGAGCCGAGGATACACCAAAGTATGCTAGCCTCTCTGGGGACTAGGCTTTTCACGCAATGAATCCAGCAGTCTTGTTTTGAGAGGTGGTGATATGGGACGCATTATTTGATCTAGGTGTTGATAGGCGCACGAGAAGTGGCAATCAATGGTTTATACGCTTTTGTTTTGAAAAAAGGGACAAAGTGGACGGTGCCATTATCACGGCGTCGGTCGATGTCTTCGAAGTACATGTAGTGATACAACAAATATTATACAATCGTGTCTGGTTCTTTCCTGTATAATCTTCTCTCTCAGCCGAGATTAAGCTGACTGGCAGCAACCACTGCCCGTAGCCTTGCGCTGGCCTGCCGTCTTTATAGATTCGTTGTCGCCGCGTTCCGTGTACTCGTGAATTCGTAGTTCTGAGTCGAATGGTTAATCAATCTGACACTTGAGAGAGGCATGAGCGCTCTTGATGGGCAATATTAGCAATAACTGTGCATACCATAGGTGTGGTCCTTGTCATCCTGCTTCTTGCCCTGCACAACATTCTCGCGCAGGATCTTGGATACATCCTCCGCCTTGAGGATGGCGTCCTGGATCGCCTTAGCGTCGACCAGAGCAGCATTTTGGCGAAATTCGGTACGGATCTGGGACTTAGCGGCAAGGAGTACCGACGTGTCACCTGCACAGATAGGTCAGTACTTCGTGGTCGAGAACAGTGCCGACTAAGAGTGAGTGTAGAGTCTCTGATTACCTTGAAAGGCAATGCGCGCAGAGCGCATTACATGTCTGTAGGCTGCGAGAGACATAGCTGGGGGTTGTGTGGTGATGTTGAAGGCCGATCAATGCTTATGGAGCAGTAGTATTACGCAGCAAAAAGACTCGAAGTTGAACTGGGAGTTGCCACATGAATAAATAATTTGCTTACCCTATAGAAAAATCTCTTTCCTGGTCAGCGGCCCCACGTAGTAGGAGCAACCAGTAAGCCCCACCAAATATTTTTTGTGTGCGAATAGGAAAGAGGGACAAAAAAGTGGCAGATTCTTTCATCCCTCTTGTTTCTCCCCTTACATCAACTAACTTCTAGTGCAAAGTAGCAAACACCGCAAATATGGGATCTGTTGCCACTGTGACCCTTCCTCTGCCTCTGTTGCCCGAGGGCTGGAGCGCCGACAAGGACTTCAAGGCCGTCGGCAAGCTCACGTCGGCCTCGCAGCGTTCCATTGAGCCTGTCGGCCCTCACTTCTTGGCTCACGCCCGCCGCGCCCGCCACAAGCGCACTTTTTCCGAGGATGACCGTATTCAGGCCCAGGAGAAGGCCAAGAATGTTGAGGAGGTTGACGATGGCGAGATCAGCGAGCCTGAGGACCCCATGATGCTCCAACGCGAGGCCAAGGACTGGAAGACCCAGGACCACTACCAAGTTCTCGGCCTCAGCAAGTACCGCTGGAGGGCCACCGAGGAGCAGATCAAGAAGGCTCACCGCAAGAAGGTCCTCAAGCATCACCCCGACAAGAAGGCTGCCCAGGGTGCCTCGCAAGACGACCAGTTCTTCAAGTGCATCCAGAAGGCTACCGAGATCCTCCTCGACCCCATCAAGCGCCGCCAGTTCGACTCAGTCGACGAGGAGGCTGAGGTCGACCCTCCCACCAAGAAAGACATCAAGTCGGGTAACTACTACAAGTTGTGGAACAAGGTCTTCAAGGCTGAGAGCCGTTTTTCTAAGAACCATCCTGTCCCCCAATTTGGTGACGCCGACTCCACCAGGGAACAAGTCGAGTCCTTCTACAACTTCTGGTACAACTTTGACAGCTGGCGTACGTTTGAGTACCTGGACGAGGATGTTCCTGACGACAACGAGAATCGTGACCAGAAGCGTCACGTCGAACGCAAGAACGCCAACTCGCGCAAGAAGAAGAAGGCTGAGGACAACACCCGCCTCCGTAAGCTGCTCGACGACGCTTCCGCCGGAGACGAGCGCATCAAGCGCTTCCGCCAGGAGGCCAGCGCCGCCAAGAACAAGAAGCGCTTCGAGCGCGAGGCCGCCGAGAAGAAAGCTGCCGAGGACGCCAAGGCCAAAAAGGAGGCCGAGGAGAAGGCTAAGCAGGAAGCTGAGGAGAAGGCTAAGCAGGACCGCGATGCCAGCAAGAAGAACAAGGAAGCTGCCAAGAATGCTGCTAAGAAGAACAAGCGTGTCCTGAAGGGTTCCGTTAAGGACGCAAACTACTTTACCGACGCCGAGCCTACGGCCGCTCAAATTGACTCTGTCCTCGGCGACGTCGAGCTCATCCAGGGCAAGCTTGACGTTGACGAGATTGCCGACCTGGCCAGCAAGCTCAACGGGCTCAAGGTCGCTAGCGAGATTAAGGGTGTCTGGAGCGCCGAGGTCAAGCGCCTTGTCGACACTGGCAAGCTCAAGGATGGCGAAGCCAAGTCCCTGGCATAGATAGATTTACGAGGAAAAAAACTTATGAGTTATTGTTAGATGATAAATGGGTCCTTTCGGTGAATCTTGTAGAACAGCATAAACTTGCCAAGGTTTGTATACAGTGGCAATACACAATATAAATATGAATGGGCTTTCGAAATTACTTGCTCATACTGAGTGTGAAAGAACAACAACAACTTTAATCAACAGGTATTAAATTAATATATAAAAGCACCGATATAAACAAATGGGATTGATATATGTACAATAGTGTTCCATGGCGTCTCCCGATCAAGAGATTGACCTAGAACCATTTCGTATATGCATGCCCTTCTTAGCAATCAGCTCACCATCGTGAGTGCCCATCTGGACCGGACATCCCTTGTGAAACACGACAATGATATCTGCATTTTGAATGGTGCTAAGACGGTGAGCCACGGCAACGGTCATGCGAACAGCACCCACACGGCCTAGTGCTTCCTTGACAATCCTTCCCGACTCAATGTCCAGGGCGCTCATGGCCTCTTCGAGGAGAAGTCTTGGTCGACGCATTAGGGTATGCATAATGACAGTCTTCTTAGTAGAGACAAAAATTCCGACGGTCTGAATTACGGGTATCTTTGGTCTAAGGGGGTAGGCAAAATTGACCTTGTTGATGTCAATCGCCATTCCCTTTTGGCTGGAAGCCTTTTCTAAGGAACCGGGACATCTTCGTGCCTGAGGGCTCCTCTAACTGCTTCTGCATCGAGTGTCTTAAAGCTGCCCGCAAAACGATACAGGGACATAAGAGCATCAATATCCCGGGGCGGGAGCCCTATGTTAAGTCCATATATCTCCACTGATATATTTTGTTTGGGGATTGAAGGAAGGCGACATTTTATTGAGTCAGTAATAACTAACAAACGAAAGGAGCGTGATGCTGACGCTATTTGCGCCATTTTCGTACTCTTCTGCTACATTATTGGGACGTCATCAGCCGATAAATTGCAGCTGCTCGAGCATTCTGTTGGCTTGCAGGGAAAGATGTGAGAAGCATCCAAGATGACTAACTAGCTGTATCGTATGTTCTAGCTGTACGCCGAGGTGGCAGTCATGTATATTGGAGCTAAGAAGCGGCAGCAGGAAGATAAGCCCCTGATTCCAATCAACGGCGAGATGGAGGATATGTACCTGGACCAGCTGGGTTTCGCGCCGATAGATGACCTGGCAGCAGGGGTCATGGAACAGTATCGTAGGAGGGGCTGGCAGCAGCTCCATACCTATGGGTGGCCATAGAATGCGGTCATCTACATGGCCAGCTGGTTTACGAGCGGTCAGAACATGCTCGAGTTGATGGAATCGGACCGGCCGCATATGAACCCATCTAAATGGATGCCATCGGGGAGTGGTGGCCCGAGTATATAGGTGCACGTAAATGGGCAACGAAGTCGTAAATGTAACCTCAGCGCCCAAATAAGGTTTTAGTCGGTTGGGAATCGCGGATCGTAGACTTCGTAGCCTTCGTCTTCTGTGTCGCTCTCGTCGTTTGTTGTGCTCGCAACTAGCGACAGCTTGGACGGAGCGGCGTCGGGCGTCTTTTGGACGGCAGCAGCATGTTGTTGGTCAATCCCCGCCGGGGAAAAGGCGCTCTTGAAGCCGCTCTTTTTGAAACCTCCCTTCTTGAAGCCGCCGCTGCTACCACCTTGTTGCTGTCCGCCCGAGGCGCCATCTTGACTAGCGAGCTTGATGCTGACGAGCCCATCGGCTTTGGCCTCTGCCTTACGAGCGCGACTAGATGCGGCAGGATCGCGTACCATGGCCTTCATGTCGCGCAGGCGCTGCTTGTGCGAATGATCATAGGAGCTGAGGTGGGCTTCATAATCGTTCATGCGGCTGTAGCCCTTAGAGCAGAGGTCGCAGTAGAAGGCGCGTTTGGCTTCGCGGGCGGCCGACATTTGGGCCGAGGGCAGGGTCTGATGACGCTGCAAAATAAAGAAAATCATTAGTTTAACCGGACAGCGAACAGGGAATGGTGCGTAGATATTTTGGGCGTACCGGAGGCATAACTGCGTGGTTTTGTGTGGTGGTGATTGGGGTGTGAAATGCAGATGTTATGATTTGTAGCTCAGGTAGGGACGGATCGTCATTAAACCCACCAAAAGTCACTGCAGCTGGCCGCCGCCAAGGTCTAGACATCATCTTCTTACACCAACAGCCACAAAATATAGACCTCAACGCTTTTCTCAACGGCTTCGTTTCAAAAACTCATTGAAACGCAGAATCCTTTGTTTGATTTTCTGTATGGGGTGTTCCTATGGAAGATAATGAGTTCCAGCCGACGGATCGCCGTCAGGGCCGCGATTCCCAAGCCACGACGTCTTCCCTCGCTTTTGTCGACCCGGCGCCTATCGAGATGATCGAAGTAGATGATGAGGAGAAGCAGTCGACACAAGATACCGAGCGTCTTGATTCCAGCCATACAAGCCATGAGGATGATCCTGCACCACACACGGGCTCGACTGTTACCCTTGGGCTCAGCGGCTTGGGCCGCGGAGCTGTCTACTACCGTACGTGTGGTTACCCCTGTTTGACGACATACGTTCTGTGCATGCTTCTGCTGCTGCTTGGCTATCATAGTACTGACGTTTATTGTGTACAGTGACGCGAATACAGAAATACTCGAGCTACGCAATGTCCATTTTCACCTCCCTTCACCTGTGCAACGTATCCCTGATCCCAGCAGCGACAGGATCCATCGACGCTTCGGAAACCTACTTCCTCATGACGCGCGAGATCTACCAAACATCGATATCTGAACCGGCTCTGGTGCTCCTGCCATTTGTCGCACATTTGGGCTCGGGGATAGCATTACGACTCTTACGACGGTCACAAGCTATCAAGCGATACGGGCGGGCTGTTGCTACACGGCAGCGTGTGGCCGGGACTAGGTCAGCTACGTCCTCACCTTGGCCGCCGTTGAACTACATTTCTGTGTCGGGATACGGGTTGATGGCATTCTACACAGCTCACGTGGCCATGAACCGCATCCTGCCGCTAATGATTGAGGGCGACAGCTCCAACATTGGGCTGGCGTATGTGGCCCACGGATTCGCACGGCATCCGGCCGTGTCACGCCTAGCATATGTCGGTCTCATTGTGACAGCGGCGGGGCACATGGTCTGGGGAACAGCGAAATGGCTTGGGCTGGCACCCTCGACACGAGCGTCTCTGTCGCCATCGCTGGCGGGCCTGAGCGCCCCGTTGGCGACCAAGGATGTGCGGCGACAGCGGAGGAGATGGCTGGGTGTTCACGCCGTCACGCTGGGGGTGATGGTGTTGTGGTCGGTGGGTGGTCTGGGCATCGTCGCTCCTTCCGGTGCCTCGGATGGATGGGTTGGCACATTGTACGACAATTTGTTCAGCAAGATGTGCTTATAGTATTATGGATGGACGAATACAGACTGACGAAACTGTGATATCATGGCTGAATTATATGGCAAGGAGAATTTATTTGGGCTTGTTCTTGTCTTCTTTGTCTTACGAACTTCGCTTGATGATGCATGTACGTTATCCGTTCAAGCAAGAAGAGAAAGAATGCATCACCCCGAACAGCTGTCAGATGTCATTTGCATGCAACGGAGACATGCTAAAAGCCTTTCTGTCCCCAGACAGATTGGTCGGATATGTTGTGCGCCTCAGTCGTCTCTTTTTCTCTTCTTTCTTTTTCTCCTTTTCTCCTTTCGTGCTCTCAGACTCGGAGTTGCATGAAGTACCACGGAGCACTGCGTATGCATATTCCATGGTTTTCAAATCAAAACAAGGGATTTTGTTGTTGGATTACATTCATCATCTACGGACTAATGGACTATGGCCAATTGACAATAGTGTCGTTGTGGGACTTTGTTGGTTGTACAAGTACGTTGGACGCTAATTGTAATTAACTATTACTCCATATTGCAAGCAAAAAGCAACAAGGTTTCCGACGTGACAGGGTTTCAAGGGCCTATGAGTAAGGAAGTTCAGCCGCGAAAGCAAGTACGAAGAAGTTCACTACGACGTACGAGTAGACCGCCGTAAATAATAGTTATACTCACTTCACACTTGTTATAGGAATAATTCTCATAGGCAGCTGGTCCGGTGGATATGATTTTCCCCTGGTTGAATGACTGTAACATACGGTCTCAAGGCCACGGCGGGCCGTTCTAGCTGACCTGAACGAACTTGACTATGCCAAAATTTGACCAAGATTTTTTTTTTTTTTTTGAATTGGACAGGGATACGATGAAATTTTGCTGAGAAAATGAAAGAAAGAAAAAAAGGAAAAATCTGCTGTTGTTGCTCTGTAATATATGGTGAGGGAGTCTTCGTGCGACGACTTATACGTACTTGTGTATGTATTCCGTCCGAGTCTATTCAAGATGGTAATCCGCGGACCGCTAATAGTAGGAGCCTGTGATCAAGGGTCAGGAATAGACGTCGTTTTAAATAGTCATTATTCAAATTGTGCGGAATACGGAGTACAGGTTGTACAGTTGTCGTTTACATGTAATACACATAAATAACAATCAGACCCGAGGATATGGTCATGATATGTGGAGGATACTAATACTCGTCTTATTCAGCCACAGACTGGGCAGGTGCGACTGGAGCGACGAATGGTCCTTAGCACTCTGCGACTCAAGAAATATTATCTACTATTACTAGTAATGACAATTCACCTCTCTTTTTGTTTCCTCATTTCCTTCTTCCTGTTTTAACAGAAACTTTTCTTATCTTGCGTCTCTAAACGTACAACGCACGTAAGGTTGGTACGTACTCTGCTTGTAATATATTAATCAGCTACACGAGTGGCAGGAACACATTAACAACAGTAGCAACAGAAGGAGCCTCCTCGCCCATGACTCTTTCCCCATCCACTCACTTATTCAACCCCCCCCCCCCCCAAATCACTCTTTTGTCTCTTCACCCCCCTCCTCTTTTCTCTTCCTCTCATTTCTTTCTCTTTTGGTCCTCCCCTCAAACGATAGAGGGCATAAAATGATCACCATCTCTGGCGCACAGATCATCTAGCCCACACATGGGAGAGGGGCACATCACATGTGCCTTGGCGCGCAGAGTCCCGTCCCTTGATCCATACAGACCCAGTCAACAAACGCTGTTCCCCAGGACCGACTCCTCGCGCGCTGGTAGGCGTCTATCGAGTTACACAAGCCTCGGCTCACCTTCTGCCGTTGCTTCGTGATTTTTACCCGACAGCCGTTGATCTGAGGTCTGTCATTTCCTCCCCTTACAATATGCAGATCAAACGGCGCCTATCCTGCGAAGATGACAACTGCGACGCGGCAGAAGACTATATCAGTCGGTCTCGCCTACATAAGCGCATCTGTCCATCTACCGACGATTCCATAATCAGCCGACCTCCCGTACGCGACACAATATCTACTCTACCTGCCGAGATCCTCGTCCGTATACTGTCCTTCCTCGGCGAGACGACCCTGCTCGAGATCTCGACCGTCTCCCGCCTCTTCCACCGCGTCACGGCCGATCAGCATCTGTGGCGCCTGCACTATTACCGCCGGTTCATCCTACCGCGCGCACATCTGATACCAGGCTTCCGGAAAGGTGCCGTCCGGAATGGCAGCTCATACAGTAGCAGCCGAGCGAGCAGGCCTGAACCCACGAGCCGCTCCGGAGATTCTGTCGACTGGAAACAGTCGTACAAGCTGCTGCACAACTGGGCCCGGGGGCGGTGCGATGTCGAGGAGCTTCAAATCCACCCCCGTGAGCCCATGATGCTCGGCCGGACCATCGGTAGGACGCTTGTCAAGGTGGTCGAGGGACTAGCTATCACGGCTGACGTCGCATCGGGCCTCATGGTCTGGGATCTTCGTACGCGTTCGCCCGTAGCCCAGACAGGTCTTGAGCCGAGTTCCGGATGCCAGGTTCATCCGACGTGCTTGGCCGTCGACGATGAGCTCCTGTCCCAGGGCGGGGTAGGCATCGCTGCGGGCTTTGACAATGGCACCTTTGGCGTATGGAGAATGGACCTGGCCAACAAACAGCTGATTAAGCTTTGCCGTCACAGCAGGGGACCACAGGGTCGCCTCGAGGCCATTGCATACTGCCAGCCGTATGTTCTAGCGGCGTCGACGGGAGGCTACGTTGCCGTGTGGACGCTGGACGCGCATTGGCATAATGGGACTGATGGCGATGCTACCAAGGCCAAAGATGCCCGCGCCCCGCACATGGTGCGTTCTCTGAGGTCGCACAGCACCCGCGCGCCTCTGACACTGTCGATGCGCAGGGTATCGTTGTCAGTCATTGCATCAATAGTGTACACTCTGGACACTGTCGGCGGCTGGTGCATCGGCATTCAGGACTTCGATATCCGGCCGTCGTTGGGCGATGGGCCGCCCGAGATTGTTGATTCACGCATAGCACACACCGTACCGACTCCCATGTACGGTGCCAGGGCACAAACAGCACCAGCTATGTCACCACCAAATGGTCGCGGGGTCCGCCACATCATCGGTAACGAGGACCATGTTGACGATGGCGACGACCAAAATCAAAACTCGGTACACTCGACACCACCATCTGCCTCCTCGCTGGGACCCATTTGTCTCTGCTACAACCACCCTTACCTCCTGGCCACGCTGCCGGACAACACTCTGCTCCTGCACCTATGCACCACGACGTCAACGAGGTTAACCATTTCCCCCGGAACGCGTCTTTGGGGCCACACGTCGGGCATCTCTGACGCTGAAATCACTGCGCGCGGCAAGGCCGTCAGTGTGAGTGCGCGGGGTGACGAGATTCGCGTATGGGAGCTCGAAGGGCGTGCAGGAGGTTGCAGTGTTGAGGTGAGGCCTAGGCAACAGGATGCCATCCCTGAGGAGAGCAGCACGGACGCACCAGCCATGTCCACGTCTTTAGATTTCAAGAAGAACAAGGTAGGGTTCGACGAGGAAATGGTCATTGTGCTCAAGGAGGCGCTCGATGGAAGAGAGTCTCTCATGGTATATGATTTCACATGAGACTACAAGTATAACAACGGGGAGGAATTTTTTCCATATTTTCTATTAAGTTGAATGACCAGCTGCAGCGCCTTAGCACTGTTTGGTGAGCTGCAGATGCTCTTAGGTATTCGGAGGGGTTGTAAATGGGACATGAGACAAGGCTGTTTCTGCCTCCCGCCTCTAGGACATATGGAAGGAAGGCTGTGTGGAGTCCAGGCTGGCCTGGCTTGGTCTGCGAGGCAAAGTTATCGAGGCGCTCCGGGCACAGCCACCTCGAAACGCTGTCTACACCCTCCCCCGAATACCCAGATATCAAATCCGCAGAATTGAATCGAAACCCCCGCGATTCCTGTCATCAGCGGGTATGACAGGTATAAGGGATCACGGGAACAAGTCTAATATTGGTAGTGGTGTGTCCAAGTTGTTGAGAAGCAGTGACCAACTTGGCGTGGCGCACGGGGCGCAAGCCGCTGTGGATATATTAACAGGAACTGACTGGACGGGCCGAAAGTCCCCCACTACGGCCGGATGATGCACAAGTAGGAGGGAGAAGGACGGAGGATTTAAGATGGTGTGGGAAGGGGGCGAGGGTCAAATTGGCACATGAATACATGTTAGTATATTGTGGGGAGGGTATGGCCATCATGTGAGAAGACCGGAGGGAGGTTGGAGAAGGAAGAACGAATGATCACAGCAACCCATCATTCACTGTCGATACTACCGTGGCATAGCAAATTCCCATGTCGCTCTGCTAGACGCACCTGAGATCGGCGAAGCATGCGTATTGCGTTGCTTGCAGATTGTCACATGGGAGCCGCCCTCTCCCCACGACGAGTAGAGTCATGTTAATCTAGAATATCTTGCAGTTCGACATCCTCCCGAGAGCACATTCAGGTTCAGGCCTTTATCCTTCCCACTCCCTCTACCATTTCGCAATAACGCTTTAGCACATGTTCCCTTAGATCCTCGTCTAATGTCGGATGGAACAGCTGTCCCTTAGACATGATCATCCTATCGTCATGTATGGACTGTACCTCATGTCCCCTGGAGGTCTCGTCTCATGGTGCTAATGATTATGTCGTGTTCTTCGAGTTCATCCATGTCATTGTCCATGGGCTTCTGGACGAATAGCGTGTTTTTTTTTTGAAAAGAAGGAATAGGTACACGATGGCGTATAGTCGAGGCATGTTGTCCTGAGGTTTCCTCGGTTTGCCCCGACAGCGTTGCTGTTTCAAACCATGCCACTTTGATTCTGCTTACATGATATTGAATGTTCTAAAGCTGCTGAAATAGCGGGCGTCTCCTTTTGGATTTGACTACTTTCTACAATCCTTCTTGGGCACAGAGTTACAAAGAGTTATTGCGAATGTGTCCTACGACTATTACGTGAGGACCAACAAAACATTACGTAGCATATTAGTGCTGTTAATCGGCAATTACATACATATAGATAGACGCATTGCAATGTTAAGAGAGGGCTTAGCAAGGCGAGGTAGGGAGGAAGAGGAGAGGGTGGAGTGTTGTATACATGTAGGCACTGGCGTAGTCGGACTTGGAAAGACCAATGTCAATATCCCGTGATATTTCAGACGAAAGAGCACACAAGCTATATCATCGGCAACACAGGCTAGAAGAACCGTGATTCTGACCTTGGCCTGGTAATAAGCGCTGCTGCCTGCGTGCCGAGAAGTTGACGTTGCATTCATGTGCAGACAACGAGACTAGGCAATTCTGCAGTACCCTAGCACTGTCGTCATCCCGCCTGCAATGTCGCGTCTTATCATGTATGGCACTTCCTATCGACTATAGTACTTCGGCATGTTCCCATGACTCTTGAAGCAGGACAGTCCTTTCAACATTGCAGAGTTGATAAGGAACTTGTTTCCCCTCTGTTGTTTCTTGATATAAAAGGAAGAGAGGGTTGCAAATGCGACGGTCTTTAAAATTCTTGATTAGAGAGTAACGATGATACTAAGTAGTATTGGAGGACGTTATACGATGTCTCAGCTATGTTTGTCAAGTGACTGGGGGGGAAGTCATCTGGGCCGAGACAGCGCGGGGGAGGGGTAACCATTCAAGATGAGGAATCAGATAAGATGTCTCTTGCCACACGTTTTTTTCCTACTCGTACAGGACACCTCCGTTCGTAAGAAAGAGAAGAAAACAATCCGGCTGACCCGGTCATGCCTTCAAAAACAGGTGCGGAGAAGATAAAGTACCCTTGGCGACTCTATCCGGGAATTACCGTATTAGTATGGGGAGATGCTTGCTTACGACTGATTATTTATATATACGAATACTATTGTATATATATTTCAGTTGTAATATAGTACCCGGATGTTGTACGAAGAAGAGGGGGGAGGGCAACAGGTTGCACTGGTGTTGCCCAGTCCACAGTTGACTTAATTGCCCCCCCTCCTTTGTTTTGTGATTGCCGTTGTTATATTACTCGTGATGGAGAATGGAGGGAATGAGTCACATTTTCCTATTTCTATTATCTAATTTGAATGATTGAAAAGGAAGTCTTTTATATAGATTATCTGTGATTTTAGCTTCAACGAACCAAGAAATTTGTAATTTGAAGAGAGGAAGGGCAGAAAAAAAGGATTCACCGTCTGTTTCACACAAAACAAGAAGGAGCTATCGGGGCAGGCGGTGATGAATGTGTTGGGGGGGGGGGGTGGTAAAGGAGCCTAGGAAAGAAGGAACCACATGTGTGACTCACTCTTACGGAGCACACTCCAAACGATGGAGAGACGTCCCCATAATCCAAGATATCTATTGTACGACGTACACACTGTGAGTACCCCTCTTATTTACAAGTATTATATCAGTATCACTGCTAGTAGTATTTAAACAGCTTTGTACGGGATTCTTCTCCTTCTGTAACCGTGTGATGAGCCAATGTGATGTGGGTATTGGCCAATGAAATCAATCGTTTCGTTGACTGCTGAGACGAACAGACGCCCGTGCGACTCGTCAATCCTGTCTTCTGCCTGGGCTTCCACTCTCCCTCTCTTTACTAGTTTTCGCTCATCTTTCTCAAAGTTCCAAATATATATTAAGTTTTCCAGTCAGACAATTGGCCAATATTTTCGTATTTGCCCTGTTCCCTTTCACCAATCCCTTTGGTCGGACAAGTGGCAGCGGATGTGCTGGCCAAGAGCTGAGCCGACACGACAACTGCATGGCATGGCATGGCAGATTGGCATTGATACATACGACGTAATATTACACGGCAATATTCTGAGAATCTGCGCAAACTAAAAATTGGATTCGAAATTGAAATAATTGAAATAGGATAAAAAGAAAGAGAAAAGTACGAAATAGATTTACGCAAATGTACATAAACGTACATGGATTTTGAGGCTATGACGCACACGGGCCCTGCGTTGTCATGCAACATGGATGCGTGAATGTCCTCGACAAGATCAACAAGGGACCACGATGAGACGATTGGGCCGCTACGGAGGATGCGAAGTAACTCGCAAAAAGACAATACCGGCCAAGTGCGACGTAGGAATATGCGGCGTATGCGACGTACCCTCTTTAGGCCTTGTTGCCATATTGTTGGGCATCTAGAGTGAGTCTGTTAGAACGACTCAGCTTGAGACTGTCTGCCACTCTTGTGAGTCTTTTCCCACCTTCACCCCTCAATGGTGGTGGGGTTGGCTGCCAAAACGCGCGCGTGGGTCGTGTAAGTCGACACCACCAACGCAAGCGCTCTGTCTCTCTTCTGTCGTCACTCCCTCACTCTATTTCTCTCTTCTCTCTTGCTTATAATTTTGTTCTCATTAAAGCGATTGTTCATTCTTTCGAGAGAACGAATTGAATTGCGCCTTTGTTTGTAGCATTGCCAGACCATCTCCTGCCCCAATCATTCTCGAGGCCGACCATTCTGTGACTCGTAAACATTCTTTGTGCGACCCATTGACCCCTCTTCTTGGGACCCCAATTGAACCAGTCATGCCTATCAATTGAATCGATAGCATGTCACGTCTTTTTTGATCCTAGGGTGGTGGCGGGGTTAAGAAGAAGGTCGCGTCTTGGTGGGGGTTTGCAAATTGAATGTTCAAGAAAAAAGTGGAAAAAGCCTCTCTTCTGCCCCAGAATCAAGATAGATTAAATTCGAATGAAGGCGAATTAAAAGAAGGGGGGAATCAAAAATTCACTGTCGAGGAAAAACGAATATCTGGCGCACGTCGCGGCTTCGTATCAAGCCATATAGTACGGGAAAGAGAGTGTGCCCCTGGACGGGCGCGTGGTCGAAATGCACAGCCCAGCCGTACCAGCGAAAAGACCACCACCATCCATCACGGAGAATCTCACCACCATCGGAGTCTCGGGAAGTAGTTGGTCTGTAGACTGTAATACTGGTGCAATGCGCGATCGGGAACAAAGAGCGGCACGGTTCGTTAGAACGGCATGATTCGTTATCCATTTTCTTTGTCTTTCCGGCTCTCTCTCTCGCCCTCCATCTTCCTACCTGCACTTGCGAAACTTGTTGTATTGATTGCGACGCCATTTGAGACAGGTAGGTGCACTCACAGGGGAAAGAGCAATGGCAGCACAAATAGTGACTTCCCTCTTATCCAAAAAGCTTGTGATCGGGGGGGTCCCTTCTCTGTTTGGTTGGATGACACTATCCCTCCTCTTCCGTAGGAAGGCGCTAGCGGCATCGCACCTGACAGGCTGATCCAAGGGGGGTGTGGATCCGAAAGGAGGAGAGGGGTGGCCCGGGCATGAGAGACTCGGAGAGTGCTTACATGTACGGAGTACAGTGTATTATTAATTAAACAGCGTACCCCGTGCTAGTGAGGAGCGTGTGTGATCAGAGTGAGCGTGAAAGCGGGGGGTGTATATGTAGTAACATTTCCATCTTTGTTGGAGGGTCAATCTCGTCCCTCTTTGGTTCATGGTTGCGAATCCATACGTACAATAATATGGACGAGGGTACTCACGAGGGATTCCGTCTTGATCGGCGCATAGCATCCAGTGTTTCGTATATCCATATGGATTCATCTCTCTTCTCTTCCCCCCCTTTCTCTACGTCTGCTGTCTTCATGACACTCTGCTCTCCCTCCTGGGATACTTTGCCATTGCCATTTCTACAACGCACATACAGATGAACACAAACAAACGCAATCAATTTCAACTGTACCATAGATCAGCAACTTCGACACCAATAACGAGCGCCTAAACACTATCCAACATCCCTTGGCAGTGGATCGCGCGCCCTCGCCCACCCCAAAGAGGGGCACTCCCCCCCTGCATCACCACCAACATCTTGGTGCCACATCATTCACCATCTCTCAGTCTCTATTCTTTCTCCTCTCTCCTCCTGCCCTCGATTCCAGACAACAAAGAGGACACACAGAAAGACACAAAAACAGCCGTGCCCTAGTACAAGACGTGCATCTCGTGCCCCGCCAATCTGCCTCTTTCTATCAAATGTAGACGAGGCATTGGGTATCAACGCGCTTCTTCTGATTCTGTGCACACACACCCCCTCACCTCAAACACGCGCGCTGGCTGCTATTGTCCATTGCTACTGCCTCGCTTTCTCTCCCTTCCGCTCCTGCCTACTACTAATCCAACCGGCCCCTGTTCACTTCTCCCCTTCCTTCCTTTTTCAAACCATTGCCAACTTGTTCCTTCCCCTCTTACATATTTCTTTTGCTACCGCCTTTTCCCTTTCCCTTTGAAACGGGAAAATAAAAGAAAGAGAAAGAAAAAGGAACGCGTCTATCGGCTCTCTTTCCTCTTTCTCCCTCCCTCATATCCATCTCTCCCCCATTTCTCAGCAATATCAACCATAATTCTTCTCTCCATCTCAAACACCACCAATTAAACCATCACTCAATCTTTGAACACACGCACACATACAAAAGCAGCTGAGAAAGAAATCACGTTGCTCAACCACAATCAAATCATCACGGCTCTCAGCCCTTACTTTCGCCTTAATTCGCATTGCCCGCCTGTTGCCGTTGCACCCACACACACCCGCCGCACCGCCTCAACCCCACCCCCTCTCCGCCACCCTGGGACTGTCAGCAACCAAGGCCGACGCACAACTCTAACACCCAGATCAACGGGCAACAAATCCGGTGCAACGGTGAAACCACAATTTACGAGTACAAAGAAGCCATTATTTGGCAGAAGCACTATTCGCCTGTGCTCGCCACCCAATTGACTTGGCTGCCTTCTAACAATTGTCATCTGGACTTCTTTTCTCTTTTCCTTCACCCCAGCATAATCAGAACTTTTTTTTGTATCTCCTGATCTCCGTGCTTCTGTTGTCAATCGTTAATTCATTCATCCTCTGTCACCTCGGCTGCACATCAAACTCTTTACTCTTCAGGCTACATTCACTAGTCGACGACTCTGATTTCACAACAAAACTGATTCATCAATCGGATCAATCCACCGCTAGTCCTGCGGGGCACACACACGCACACACACGCACACTCGCGCCACACTCGCGCCACACTCACGCAAGACACGAGGGGATATACGAGAGGGTGTAATTGTCAACTCTGACATCTTTCTCATACCTTCTCTCACATTCTTCCACTCTCGGATCCCTGGATCTATCTATCACCATTTCAATATCCAGTGCAAACCCTGGGATCAGAATCCCAGTGCGTAAGAGCTCAAGCCTGGTACTTTTTTCAATCAATTGCGCTCCAATCCTGCCTATTCGGAAAGTTACCATTAAGTCCGACATTCGAATAAATCTGCCTTGGCTACAGCCACTTATAACCATCGCCACCCATCGTCCATTGGCGCTCTTCGCCTTCGCCACCATCGCACACATCAGTCATACGGCAGCTCTAGGCTACCAACAATGGCTGACAAACCCATCAGCCTTCCAAGCGCGTCTCCTTCGCACCCTTTGAGCAACAGTCATCACCAGCTGCAGCATCAGCAAATCATGGTCCCTATTACTACTTCCACTTCGATGCTCCCCCCCCCCTTTCATCCTTCCGCTTCTTCTTCTTCTTCCTCCCCCGCATCCACCTCTCGATCTGCACAAGTTCCAAGAAACATCAACGGTGACAACGACAACAAGATAAATTCGCGGCAAACTATGCCATTTTCAAGTGCAAACAGAATCATGCACCAGCAACATCTACCCATGTCAAGGGTTGGTCCTGTCACGGGCGAGATGCCCAAGAAGATGGACATTACCAGCCTCATGTCTCCTCCTGACCTTGTTCTCGACAGCTTCAGCATCGACAACCTGAGGAAAGCCGGTGCTTCCGTTTCCGTCGTCGCCGCTGCAGTTTCTAGCGACGCACGCTCATCGGGATCTTCCGGACAGTCTACCCCTCGACTCCTGCCAATGTCGCCTCCAGTCTCGCCCTATAGCAAAACCGTCTCTCATCCAGCACAGGTGCCCTCGACACCACCGTCTCAAACTACTAAGGATCCCGTGCTCTACCCTGCCGATGATGGCGCGACGTCGACTCAGAGCACGTCCCAGCTGCCACTCTTTGCCTCCACTGAAATCGAGGCTCACCAGCGAATTGTCGATGACCACCTGAGGGCTCGGTCTGCTGGCGAGTTTGGCCGGTTCGAACCTCCCACGCGCGAGCAGTACCACCTCATCCTGACCTTCAGGTCCCAGGTCATGAAGCATTATAAGGCAAACCCCAGGGGCTGGCTGCGTAAGGAGCGGGCTCTTCTCGAGGCCGACCGTCGTGCCGGTGCCCACCGGTATCATACCATCATGCCCGCCAGGTCCAGGACTCTCGTATCCGCCAAGCCAGCGCGTACTCACCAGCGTGGTGGCGATCGTGTCACTAAGCCTGCATCGGCTGCTAGCGGTCCGGCCCCACGCCCAATCCGGAGCGGTGGTGGTGGCGGCGCAAACCCCACCAACGGCAACGGCATCAGTGGCACCACTACCACTACCACCACCAAAGGCGCCAATTCCACCGTCTCGGCCAAACGTTCAGTCCCCCGCGCTAGTCCCACACCTGAGCCTACGCGCAGAATCGTCGCTCCTAATAGAGAGGATAAGGACTTTAACTCACTGCCCGACTACTGCCCGCCTGCCTCGTCACTACCCAGCCGCCCCAACAGCCTCAAGGTTGAATGGAAAGGCCAACCGATTGATCTCAGCTCTGACCCTCACTCCCGCCTTCTCCATCCGGACGAGGTGGCCCTGGCCGGGAACTTGCGTCTCGACTGCGCCACCTACCTCACAAGCAAAAGGCGTATCTTTGAGCGGCGCCTGCAGTGTCTGCACACGGGCAAAGAGTTCCGGAAGACGGACGCGCAGCAGGCTTGCAAGATTGACGTCAACAAGGCCTCGAAGCTATGGACTGCATTTGACCGCGTTGGCTGGCTCGACGCTTCATGGGTTCAGAAGTTTCTGTGAGGGACTTCCTTCCGAGGTCTCATGCTTTTGATTTTCCAACCAGCCACCCATTTTCGCGTCTCTTTTCCCTTGTCGTTCTTTTCTCCTCGCCCCTTTCTATTTATCTATTGTATTCCTCTTCTCATTCTGTTAATGTCCATTGTCGAGATAAACTCGCATCAATATTCATTTTTCAATTGCGGCACACGATTTTTTACAGAACACGAACTACCCAACGCGCGCCCACACTTACCACTCTGCATTATAGCGATTGATTGCATTTCATTCTACACCACATACACAGGATCCTCATACACTACATCATCTGGGAACTATCTATTGATACCCGGAGTGCAATGTCCCCCGTCTGTCACATCACTCCACATTTCTTTTTCTCTTCTTTTTGGTCTTTATGAACATTTCCTACCCTAACGTTTTCCATCTTCCAATTTCACCCCGATGAGAATGATGATACGGGGTATTACGTTTCTGTCATGGGTTATTGCATAAATGCTGGCGTTGGTTATTTCCTTCTCTGTTCTCTGGACTTGGCCTTGAGAACATCCTCTAGGGCGGCAAGGACTCTTATAGCTGGATACTCTCGACTTCCAGGACGAGACGAGGCTCACGGGGCGCAACCCCCAAGCCGTTGCCATTAGGGCCTTCATTTCAATATACATTTCCACCCGCACCCTATGTTTCTCAGACTGTGTAATTAAATATATCCGTGAGCCCATTCGTAGATCTGGACCTGAATGGTTTCATCGGATATTCAGTGAGAAAGGACAGCTCACGACCCCATGACCGTAGCAATACTGGATAACAGTACATATATGGAGATAGGAACCTGATCAGGGAAATAAAATCTTGCCTCGGCCCGCTTTCAGCCCTACGCACCAGCGGTAGGCAGACTAGATCGACGGTCCCGACCGACCGTTGTGGGGAAGGCGGAGAGGGCCAGGGGGAGGGGGTGTGTGCATCGGGGAAATTTTAGAGCCTCAGGAAGCAACAAAACTTCATTACCTTACCGTACCCTTGGGCTTAGAAATTGGATCTGGATGTCATGATAATCAACATTCAACAGGAAAGGGTCGAGATATGGAACGCGCAATTAGAAAGGAAACATATCTCCTGCTCTTCTTCTCCCTATGCGCTTTCTTCTACTGCACACATACGCATGACACAAGGTCATAAACAGCTGTCGAATTCGATACACGCCATGTACATGCCATGATACCATTACCCATGGCTAAAAAAAACACTCTGGTCCTTGGTACAGCCATCTACACAAACTCTCTCCCTTTCTATCGTACCTCGATATGCTGTACTGCATTCTGCCACTTTTGCTCATCGGTCCTATAAACCACACATTAGTCTCTCTTAACAGATCATTACTGCTTGGAAAAGGCAAGACACACCTGTCAAACTTGAGCAGCTTGCCCAGAACTGGGACCAGCTGAGCCCGCAGCTTGCCGTCCTTTTGCTCCAGGAACTGCAGAAGAATCGTCTTGAGGTACATCATGTCGCCGCCACCAGGGGCACTGCCGCCGTTGGAAGAAAGACCGCTGCGGTTTGAGTCGATGGAGCTGCGCGTCAGCGACCCCGCAGCCACTAGCCGGCTTTGTGTTCCCTTGAGATCTTTGGATACGCGTTCGTACCGCTGGCGGGCCTCATCCAGAAGCTTGCGCAGCTCGCGCCTGTGCTTCTCGCCCTCACGCACCTGACCCTCGGAAGCGTCCAGGGCTGCCCGCAGTTGAGATACCGTCGTCTGCATCTCAATCGTCTCTGACTCAGCCTTCTCCTCCAGTGTCTCCAGTTCCTCCTTGCGCCGGCGCCACTCCTTGCTACGTTCCTCCAGCTCGTTCCGTTCGTTGCTAAGAACCTTGACTTCTCGCTCTAGCTCCCGGATTCGGCTGCGGAGCTCCTCTATCTCGCGCGCCCGGCGACGTGCCTGGGTGCTTGACTCATCCTCGATGCGGTCTCGATCCTCAATCGCAGCCTCCATCCTGCTCCGCATTTCTCGAACCTTGTTGTCTGCCCGCTCGTCCACGTCAGCTAGCAGCCGTCGCATAGTCTCACCCTCGCGCGTGCGCTCTTGCAGGAGGCGCTGCACCTCGGCGAGCTCCTCCTCGAGGGCCTCGGCCTGCGACTTGGACTCCTTGAGCTGCACAGACATCTCGGTCGTCTGATCGCGCATGCTACCCAATAGGCCTTGCGCATTGGTGTATTGCTGTACCTTGAACTCAAGCTCCTCCTGCGCCGCCACCTTTTCGCGTCGCAGCTTGTGCAACTCCTCCTCCAGCTCCCTCACCCGGGGCCGCAACTTGCCAATCTCCTCCTGGACCTTGCTCAGCTCCTTCTCTGCCTTGTCTGTTTGCACCCTAAGCTCGGTCTTCTCTGCCTCGGCGCGGCGGGCATCTCGTCCTGCCGTGCGCTTCTCGTCTTCCAGGCGGGCCTTTGCCGTGCCCTCGGCCGTCAGTTTTTCCTGGAGGCTCTTGATTTCCATCTCATAACTCGATGACTGCTGCTGAGCCTTGCCCAAGTCACGTTTCAGGTCTCTCTCCTTCTTCTCCATATCCCTGAGCTCCTTGGCCTTAGTGGTCAGTTCCTCCTTTGCTGTCTTCAGCATGGCCGATTCCTGCCTCAGGTTCTTGAGTTCTGGCTGCGCCTTTTGCAGGACCTCCCGAAGCTCATTCAGGTCCTTGAACCGATTCTGTGCCAGCTTCTGCGTTGCATCTAGGTCGGACTGTAGCGCCGCAGACTTCTCCTTAAGGTCGTCGTATTCCTTCTGGAGCTTGTCCTTCTCGCTGCGAGCCTTGGTGCTTGCTTCTGAATCCGACGTTGATGATTTGAGCTTCTTTTCCAGCTCGGCAATCTCCGACTTGAGTTCGATCTTCTCCGCCTCGAGCGTCTTGAGCCTGTCCTTGGCTTCAACGTGGTCTCCCCCAATATTAACTGGATCATCACGCAGCAACTCAACTTCCTCCATGAGCTGCTCCTCAGACTTCCTCTGAGCAGTGAGTCGCTCAACCTGGGCATTCTTATCCGTCAGCTCCTCCTTGAGCTGAGCAATCTCTGCCTCCAAGGCCTCATTAACCGCGGTGTTGGTGGAGATACCCTGCTCGCCAGCCTCGCTGGCTTTCTCCTCCAGTGCCTGGGCGGCTGCTGGACCGGCGGCACCACCCTTGGCCTTCTTCTTCTTATTGCTCTTCTTCTTGGCTCCACCAGCTGCTGCTCCAGTGGACGTCACAGGCTCCGGTGCAGATGAGGCTGGTGCAGCCTTCGTAGAGGAAACAGTATCGAGTTTTTTTGTGAGCTCAGCAATCTTGGTCTGGCTTTCCACCTTTTCGTTCTTCAGAGTTTCAACCTGCTTGCTGAGGTCGTCGATGAGTTTCTTGGAAACAGCCCGCGCGTTAGATGTCTTTTCAAGCTCGCTATCCTTCTCTCCAGCTCGCTTCTCCAAGGCGGCCAGAGATGCTTCAGCTTTCTCTAGCTTGGTTGACCAGTCTTTAGTCTCAGCTCCCACCTTGGCCTCGAGGTCCTTGAGTTGGGACTGGGATGCTTCAAGTCGCTCGTTGAGGCTGTTGATCTCCTTCTTTGCATCTTTCAGCTGAAGCTGAAGCGTTTTCTGGGCTCCCGCACCATCACGAAATCCACTTAGCTCCTCAGTAGTCTTTTCCAGGTTATCAGCAAGACCGACACTATTTTCCTTGGCAACTGAGAGCTCCTGCTTGAGGTTCTCAATCTCGCCACTGAGCTTCTCAATTTCTTCCGTCTTAGACTGCAGGTCGGATTGAATTTTGGGGAGCTCGTCATCATATGAGAAAATGTTCTCGCCTTCGTCGCCCGGTGTGTCCTCTCCCTCCAGAAACTTGGATTTGGCGGTTTCTTCAGCGCCTTCAGCCTTCTCAGAAGTTGTGGATTTGGCAGCTTCAAGACTCTTCTCCAAATTCTTAATCTTGTCATCGCGTTCCTCGGTCTTCTTCTTAAGCTCGTCTTTCTCGGTGGAGACACGCTTCAACTCGTCCATGACCATGTCCGACCTGAGCTTGAGCTGGCTGAGGTACTCCGTCAAGGCTGTAGGGTCGCTGATCGAGGTAAGTGGCGTGTTCTCTCGAAGGGCTCGTTCGAAGGGCTCGATCGCTGTGGCACGACGGTGTGCCACTCTGTAAGATCGCAGAAGCTCTGTGAACGGTAACATGTCAGCCTAGTGGCATGCGTATCTTGGTGATTGGCACATAGTCTGCTGTTGCCTACCTGGGTAAGTCGCTTCTAGCTTCTCTAGCTTGCGCAGTCTCTGCTTAATATCAGGAGAAAGCTCAGCTACTGCAGACGCAGTGCTTTGGTCAGTAAGTGCCTCCCGCTTAGAAGAGGCATCCTGGCTATCGTCGCCGCTTGATTTCTGGAGGACGTTGCCGTCGGCAGGGATCGATTTGCCTGCGTCCCCAACAACTGGAGACTTCTTTCCATCACTTTGCGCAGAGTCGGCAGTGTCCTTTTCAGGGGGTACCGGTGCTGGAGTGTTGGCTCGGCTGGGTTCCTCGCTGTCGCCAATAACGAAGGCTTCCTCAAAGACGGCTGGGTCGGGGTTGACGGGGGCTTCAGCATCGTTTGTATCGGCACGTCCAGATTTGGATTTCGTACGCCTAATGTCACCGTTTGTCTGGCGTGACGAGGCTGAGCCCGATCGCGAGCTGGCCGTCGCGGTCGTTAGTTGGTTCTGGCGAGCCTGCTCTTCGGCGATGGTCCGGTCGATTGCGCCTCGTATACGCTGTATAACAAGTCAGTGCGAGCCCGTGTGCGGAACATAAACAATCAAGGGAGGTTCGTGGGTACGCACGGAGAACATGATGGCTCGGCCTGTCGCCCACTAGGCCAGGCTGTCGTTTGTCAGGTCAGGGGAGTAGCAATAAATCCCGGACTCAAGATTGAAAACAAACGCTCAGGATGGGAGACGAAATGGAAAAAGAAAAATGAAATGAAACACGGTGCACAAGAAAGGACTATCAGTGAAGCAGTCGTAACATGTTCACGGAAAGCAGGGACAAAAGAAAAAAGATGTAGAGTATATCACAAAAGAAAAAAAGGTACGACGACGTAAGCGGCAATGGTGGCCTCGACTATTATGAAAGCTCCCCAGAGTTGTTTTACATCGTGGTGTGGCTCAGGCCAATATTATAGAGGGGCGCTATCAATTCACCACTGTAATTGATGGCTGTATTCGGCGTCTCAATGCATGGAACAGGAAAGTTGAAGACGTCAAAGGCTTATATTTGTGGTGACGCAGCGTTTTAATTACTATGAGTGTTGAAGACGATTTGGCAGAGTCACTGCACATAGGATCTTTTTTTTCTGCCTCCCTCCTTCCTTATTTTTTTCTCTCTCATTTTGGCTCTTTCCCTCTCCTTGAAGAGAAGAATTTGGGTAGTGCCTTTCCTTGCTGTCAGTCGCTCCAAAGCTTGAAGGCATCACGTGACGAAATCGGACCCCGAGAGTCGGAGATGCCAAAGCACCAGCTATTATTACCACAAGTTTGTCCCACCAAGACGAAGCTATAACAATTTAGTAGCATTTGTCTCGCTTCGGTTCACCAAGCATCATCCTCCGATGTTGTGTGCTGCCATATATTGAGCCAGTTACTCCTGGCGAAGACCAAATCTATCCCATCTTTCACTCCTTCTCTGTCTAGCTCTGTACACCTTGGCCACCGACAAACTTTCTGCGCCGTGTGCTAGGGCTGAACGACGTCACTATATTGGCAAAGTCGTCGATATGGTATCGTTCTGGCCATGGAGGGTAGGCTTTCTTGATCGCTGCCTCTTTCAGCTACCACAGTGGAACTAATGTGCTAACTTGAAGCTCCTTTGTCCAGGGCGATGACTCGTCCCCGTCCTCGTTCGAAAGGACACTCTCGACAGTGTCGGCCAAGATCACCGATACACAGTCCCGTTTGGACAAGACCCGTTCCAACTCACGCCGCGTGAGGGTCCTATGGACATTGTACCTCGGTTTCGCCTACCTCGTCTATGCAATCGTACTCCTCCTCGTTGTCGGGTTCAACAACATGGGTGTATATGAGTGGTCTGGCGTGTCTGGCGGACCCGTTCTGTAAGGTTGCCCCTTTCCCATCTTCCAACAAACGATGAAGACTAACCCCAAGAAGCATATTGGCTACACGAAAGATCCTGTCGGCTTACTACAACTTCCGCATCGAGAGCCTGTCTGAACGCCTCAGACAGCTCCAGGGAGAGCGCACCAGGACGATACAGAAGCTCAAGGACGCAACAAAGTACGACTCGACCATGGAGTTGATTGAAAAGTACGGTGGAGAATCCAGTAGCGGCAGCTCCAACATTAAGCCGAGCAAGACGGCCCCCATGATGGAAGATGCCAACAACAAGGAAAGCCCGGCAGCCGACCAGGCAGTCAAGCCCCCGCCACTGCCGGGCCGCACATCGCTCGGCCCCCCGCCAACAGCCAACATCAACCGTGGCCCCGACGGATCTCCGATGTCCAAACTCAACCAGATGGATCCCGGTGCCGAATTCGCCCCCAACGCTGAGTACACGCGACCCATCACACCTACACCAGGCCCCCCTCCCCCTTTCCTGCAGCAGCAACAACAACAGCAGGCCATGATAGCACCCGAAAGCCACTGGTACGACCGTGTGTTCGACGTTCTCCTGGGAGAGGATGAAACCGCCCCCAAGAATCGCATCGTACTCATCTGCGCTTCGTGCCGCCTCGTCAACGGCCAAGCTCCTCCCGGTGTCACTAGCCTCGCCGATCTGGGTATGTGGCGGTGCATGTCGTGCGGCGCTCATAACGGGGAGACGGTAGAAGATGAGGATCACAGGGTCGTTAGGGTCATCCTAAATGGCGAGAAGGACGGGGAGGGTAAGTCTGACATGGAGCTCAGCGTTAGCAACGACGAGGGACGGGAGGGCCAGGTAGACGATGGACCTTCATCCGTTAGGAAGCGTCGGTCAAAAGAGTCTAAGTAAAAAGGGGTGTCAGTAGTGCTAGTTAAGGGTAGTGTCAGTTTTCCCACATGTATGCCCAAGCTGCAGTTTTATTTCGTCTAACCTAACTACAAGAGTTTCATTCCAACAGATTTTGGTAGCGATACACACATCAAGTCCTGGTTTGAGAGATGTCACGTAGACAGCCAGTCACAACACGGTTGACGTCAACATCAAATAGTGTCTCTCCAGGTCTGTGCTAGTCAAAGAGCCGCGATTAACAAGAAAATTGTACGCAGTATTTCTCCCTTCTACCCCTATGATACATAGTATCAATTTTTTGGTCTTCTTTGATGCACAAACATACAAAAACGAGTGTCACGGGTACGAGATCCAAATCATGCGCAGTGAAGCTCGCTTGGTACGGTCAAGCCCTTGAAGGTGCCCGAACCTGTAAACAAGAAAAACCAGGAAATATATAACGTAACGGCATGGTAGTATGAGTTGCGGGGGATGTCATCAATATGTTCCCAAAACAAGGGAGAGCAAGAACATTCGCGCTTTCTTTCTCTCACTCTCACTCTCCTCTCTCCCCCTCTCTTTATATCGTCTTCTTCATGTTCTCTTCTCATCGCTTTCTAATCTCCGTAGACCAGCCATCGATACCATCACCCCTTGAGCCAACCTCTAGACCCTCTAGCTTGACCCCTTTTAGACCTGGTGTATCCTCCAACCATCCATGCCCTGCCATGCCACCAGCATTGGCCCGCTTATCGGGGACCAACTCGAGCATGGGCGTCAGGAAGCCTGAGATTCGCTTGGCATCATCTTCCTTAAAGTGATACTTTTCTCGAAGCACGTCAGGCAGTGCCCAATGCCGTAGGCGGTGAATGTTTCGGAGATCTCCCTTGCGGTTGAATATTTCCTGACTCCATTTGCCGCTGAGGCACAGCGATTTGGGGAATGGTCCCAATAGCTCAATGATTTGTGCAATGTGGTCGTCATCTTTACCGTACTTGGTGCCTGATTGGGGGTCAAACAGATAGTCTCCAGTAATGAGTTCAAAAACCTATTGTTTTCCATAATGTCAGTTCCATCTGCATTGTCTTGAAAATCAAAGAAAGAAGGTAGACATACCATACAAGCCATACTCCAGACATCGGTACTAGCTCCCCACTTGGCTCCCAAGATGACTTCAGGGGACCTATACTGGCGGGTCTGGATGTCGTTTGTGAAGTGGTGATTTACCCAGCATGCATTTCCCAGATCGGCAATCTTGACGCTAATGATTTCGAAGGGCAGCACGTCTTCAGCCTTTCGTTTGCTCCCTGATGAAGACGGGCTGTTCGACTTGTCCAGCGAGATACCAGAGACTTCCCGCGACAGGACATCACTAGATGAGGTTTTAGTAAGAAGACGTTGAAACCCACATACCAAGACGAGAGGTTCATTGGAAAACATACGCGCTCTTTTCTCTCTGTAACTGTAACTCCTCTGGCGATGCTGTTGAATCCTTCTTCTTGTCGGAGCCTATGTAGTGCCCGGTTAGTATTCGTCTTGTCGTCATGCCGAGCATTGCATAAAGAGGGGCTTCGTGTTACCGTCATTCAGTACACCAGCCAGACTGGCTTGAGCACTAGACCCGGAGAAGTGGCTGGGTTGGTTGAACCCGGTGTTGAGAGGCGATGGCAAGGGCTGACTGCCGGTAATGAGGGTGCGCCGCCTCCTCCTGCCGTTTCTGGTGGTGCTGTCCTTGTCGGTGTTGTCATTCTTGACGACCCTCTTGACAATCTGTTCGACATCGCCAATCTCAATGAGGACGTTTTCCGGTTTGAGATCAGTGTGGATGATGCCGCATTCGCGGTGGAGGTAATCGAGGCCAAGGAGGACCTGCTTGGTAATTTGCTTGACCAATGGCATGGGAATGCCACGGTGGTTCCATCTCTTAATAAGGCCCAGTAGATTTTCGCCAAGGACCTCAAAGACCATGCAGACGTGCGTGCCATTAGGGCCTTTGTGCTCAAACGAGTCGAGGAGGCTGACGACGTGTTTCCGGCCAGGGTGTTCAGGCTTGGCCTGGACTATCTTGTTGAGGAGCTTGATCTCGTCGATGGCCGTCTCGGTGTAGTGGGCAGCGGAGCGCACGACCTTGAGGGCGACGTGTCTTCCGTTGTTGTTGTCTTTCGAGAGCCAGACAGTGGAGAAGTGACCCCATCCCAGCTTGCGAACGACTGTGTACTTTCCATCCTTGTATTTTTCTCCAACATGCACAGGGTGGTAGCCACCCTTGCAGTAATCCTCGCAATCCTCCTCGTCGGCCGTGTTTTCGGCGGGTTCGTCAATGGAAGAAGATGACGGCGACTGCGTCATTGTTGAGGATAATTGGTTCGATCTATAGAGATGGCAAGCCAAGGAAAGAGGGGAGAAAATAAGCGCAACAGTTAGCAGGATCCTTTTTCCAGTTTGCAGTCGGTGTCCAGGGCAGCAGTGAGGGCAAAGCGGTGGGTTGGTTGGTTGATTGGCGGCGGTGGGGGGGCAGGAGAAAGGGAAACGAAAGCAGAGGAGAGAATAAGAGGAGGGGCGGGGGAGTAGCGGGGCTCTCGCAGCGCATAATAAAGGCTGAGAGGTCAACTGCGACAAAATAACTAAGTTACTTTTTAGACGAGAGAAAATCTCCAGCCACGTCAAAAGTAACAGCGATGCCGACGAGACAAGCCAGAAAGGAGTGGGGGCAAATAATATGGCTGGATAGAAGGTGTGGCGGAATATTGCATCTGAAGAAGGGGTGGATAAGAAAGATGAAAAGAGCTGAACCTTGATTTCAGGAAGCTCATGATGCTTCTCTACATGACGATGCGTCGCGCACCGCTACCGATGACCGTCGCTAGACCGGTCGGTGGGGTAGGCTGGTAATACAGCGAGAGGAGACAGATTCGCTGCAAACAGGCTGCCAGCAGGAGGAGCAGCAATGGTATAATGGTATGCAGTTCCAGTAAATATTTGGGAAACGGTGCGGTTGGTGTGTGATTTTTTCTTCTTCTTTTTGGTCTTCCTCTCTGACCGAGTTTTGTGTGTTTTTTTCTGGCGGTGTTGTGAGACGAACAGAGACAAGGGGTTTGAGGGGCAGCGGCGGTTACGTGAGTGGGATGATACAGGCGTCGGCGTGGTAGAGTAATACTCGTAGTAGAGAGGCAAAAAGTGTGTGGAGAAGGCAGGATAGCGCCAGGTTGGGAAGCACTTGCTGCCCTGAGAGCACCTGCTTGGCTGAGAAGTACTCACTCCTTGCCTCATCCTGGGCGTCTGTCTGCCCAAGCAATTGCAAATTTGAGCAAGCAGGTGCCGCCGTCGGCTTCTTTGCCGTCCTCGGGCCAAATTGGAATTTGTACGAGTGTCCGTACAACCAAGAGCAGTAACAGTCGTACTTATGGCTTCTGTGAGGTGAGAAATTGAGTGCTCGTAGTACATGTACTGGTAGTACTACTACTGAGACTCATAATTGTAGCTTCAATCTTGAAACCCCGGTGTCGCTTCCTTGCCTGCATCACACCACGCCCACGGAAAGGAAAGAGCAAACACCGGTATGCCTGCCCAGCCAACCATGTGTGTGCAGTAAAGGGAGGTAGGACCCTCGATGCCCGCGGCGGCAAATATGTATATATGTATGTATGTATGGAATGGCCCGAAATGTATGCAATGGATGGTTGGAACCGGACAAGAGCAAAGGGCAGGGGACAAAGGAAAACACAACTCGACTTACGCAGGTGCCGTCTCCGGTTGAGTTGCGGGAGGGTCGTTGGTAATAATGGGCTTCAATGCCTCCTTCTTACGCTTCTTGGCCGCGAGGCTGTCCCCGTTAGCCCCAGATGCCACGGCCGTCGGGTCTGGGGTTTCGAGTGGTAGCTTATTCTGATCGTCGGACAGTTGATCGGCCTCCATGTTTGGTTCGGTGATGCTTTGATTTGCTGTATATATATATATATAACAGTTCTTGACGCAAACAGGAAAGGTATGTACTGATGTCCGTTTGTACAACAATGCAAGTCGCAGTATTCGAGATGGAAGGCTTCCAAGTCGGCGAAGAGAAGTCAAGGCTGTCTGTAAAGATTACTCAGGACATGTCAGTCATGATCCTCGGGGTGCAATAGAGCTTCAGATAAGGGTACAAGACGAACCGGTGTTTACTCCGCATATATGAGTGAGCAACAGAGATATTCGACGGAATATTATTGGCCTTATAGTAGTCCCATACAGAAAATAGAGCCAGGATTCGATATTGGTATGCGACAGCTGTTAACCCTGTTTATTGTATCAGTCTTCACACCATCAAGCAAGCGGGTAAATAGCCTATCGATGCAAAGCGTTAGCCAGCTCAAGTGGTACGAGTAGTAGGATATTTGAGCTTTTGGCGTAGACCACTGTGCAAATCCGTCATCTGTCTTCCAGCTGCCATCAAGAGAGTGGCAAGCGGCAGTGACGGAGATGGCGGCGCAGCGCAGCTTATCACGGTGTTGTTGCTTGTCATTGCCATGACGCTGGAGGGGCAGTAACTCACCAAGTTGTGCGCGGCAAATACAAAAAGCAAGCAAGACAGTAGGGGAGAAAAAAATATTGTACGTGGCAGACTCGCACAAAGAGAAGGAATAAAAAAGACTTGGAAGCGACGTTTATGGTAAATGCTCTTTTTTTCTTCTTTGCGCTTAGGACAGGCAAGATGATGGATGATCATCATTGAATGGAGGGGGTGAGACCCCAAATCATGGGAGCCGCTCCGCCCCTCTTGTGACCTCATCATAGTCTTTTTATTTTTTTCAAGGCGCCATAACGGCTGTGCACTAAAATTATGTCCCGCTCCCTTGCAATGTGGCGATTTGTGGCCAGGAAAGAAATGACGATACGCAGTATTATATAAGTAGGTATTATTAGTACCAGCATTGACAAAGTAAAATCGAGGAAATATCGCTAGTATTAATGCATAAGGGTCACTTTGGTTTACTAATATAAATGATGCATACGAGTACACATGATTTCGCCGTCCATCTTTTAGAATGGCAAACCCGACGGGGAACAAGTGTGACTGTATTATTAGGTATGTAGAATGAGTATTATCCACAGATCACCAGACGCATCACCATAATCCGTCCCCCCTTCGATAACAAAACGCCGGTTTAATTGCCATATAAAACAAACAGCAGAATACAAAACAATAGAGAGAGAAAAAAGGAAAAGGAATTATCAGGCCTGTTTTAAAAGTGCATGTAACCCTCATGACTACTCCGGCCAAATACCTCTCTTCAACCAACTTTCTAACCCCTCTTCTTGTTCTTTTGTGTCATCCTGCGGAACGCCTCAGCACCACCAGAGCCCACCGGCCTGTGATCAGTGCCCCTAGCTCCGTCAAATGTGCTGCGGGGAGCAATAGTATAGCTAGCTGGGAGACCACCCATGCGTGCACGGCTGTTGCCGCTGGGAGCCGCCAGGGCACGCTCGCGCTCGGCCTCAAACGACGACTGGGCAGGACGTTGCGTGAGGCTGAACTGGGAGCCAGCCTGTTGCCTCTGGGCCAGTTTGGCAGCGCTGTAATGTGTTAGTTGTGTCTTTCTAGACTAGTAACAGATGCAACAGGAAGGAAGAAAAGATAAAGGCAGAGGGAGGGAAAGGGACGTACTGATAGTCAAAGTCGCGCGTTTCAATATGCCTCTTCTTGTAATCATCAGTCCGCTTGAGAATAGGACGGCTCCACTCTCCGAGCAGCTTCTCAGCCATGCGCTTGATGGCCGGCTCGGGCTTCTTGCTTCGCGTGTAGAAGAGCACTAGTTTACCGATGCCACTGCTCAGGAGCGCCTCCTTCTCGATGTTGAGCTTGATGAGCACCGAGAAAATGTCGCGCTGAATGTTGTAGGCCGGCAGCGAACCGTCGTTGAGCGGTTCCATGAAGAACTTGACGTGCTGTAGGAAGTTGGTGTCCGGGTCCAGCACCGCGTGCTGCACGTTATTTCGGTTGAGGATGTTAGTCACCTCAGGCAGAAGCTTCAGTTTGTGCAGTGCTGGCTCGCCAGCGTCGCGCGCCGCATTGTCTTCCTGGCAGGCACGCTCCATGCGCACCTTCAGGTCTGCCAACTGTTCGTCAATCTCATCTTCAAGGTCCTATAGCACGTACGCACACAGTCAGTCCCAAAAGTCTCGATACACACAAGGACTTAGAACCTCCAGAGGGACAGAAGCTCACAATCTCATCCTTCTTCTTCCGGCGGGTGCCACTGGGCTTCTTGATAGCAGCGTCCAGTGCGCGATCGATGGCTCGCTTGCGCTTCTCCTCGGGGCTGAGGTCTTCCTCATCACCCGGCGCGGGCGTCGACTCCTTAGGTTTGGAGCGTCTCTCGCCGCTGTCTTCGGCTCTCCTAGACCGCCGTGGCTTCCTGGAAGTACCACTATCTTCAGCATCATCCATGAGGATATCCTCGCTACCTCTGTCTCGGCGTTTCTTCTCTCGGCGTCCTTCTCGTGGCTTCTTGGCCGCCTCGCCCTCGGCTCGCTTGCGCTTCGTCGCCTTGAGTGTCCGCGCCACATCCTCGTCGATGTCGACCGGTCGATCCTTTATGTTGGCGGCTTCGGGATCGTAGTCTTCGATCAAATTTTCGTCCACCTCTGACAAGGCGTCTTCATCACGATCAGAATCGGCAGCAACAAGCTCTGCCTCGTACTCCTTCTCCTGCCCATCATCTACCGGCACCGCCGCCGTGGAGCCGATGTCGGACATCTTTGTCGTTGTATGGACCTAAACCAGATGGCGGCGAAAATGCTGCGAAGCTATGGGGAACGATTCTGGAGACCGAGAAAAGAGACCTAGGGGTAGTTGTGTTCCGTAAAAAACAAAGGGTCCCGTCAAGGAGACAGGCGTGCAGAAGGGTTACAAAGAAGTCAAACACTCTTCTCCCAAACGTGGAATCGCTTAAACAATGGCCTGATCAAGCCGGGCCGTTCGTTTTATTGATGGATAGAGAAGAGCATCAAACAGACTGGGTGAGCCACCAGGATGATTTAGATGACTAAGAATTGCTGGCGTCGCGCTATTACCTCCTTTGTTCCAGCACTCGTACTTATAGAAGGAGAAAAGCACAACAGCACCTGTCCATCAATACAGTTTACTACAGCCCTTATGAGATGTGGGGCCTAAGGCAGAAAACTGTTTGTTTACTTTGATGCAGCGGTAGCCTGTGACGACTTTGAATATTACTACTGATAAATCCTAGACGACTTGCTGACCGAGCCAGAACTCTGCACATTGAAAGCCATCTAGGGTGTCCTTCAATTTTTTTACAACTACTGCGTGTCCGTTTCCCCCCGGATAGCATTTTACTTTTACGCAATCTCGTTGGACGAATCCATACGCCTCTTCGTGTCCGAATCATGGATCGCAGAACATACGAGGGGCCCATGGACTGGGAATACCAGAACAAAGGTCCTATCGACCCGACCAGTCCATTTGCACAGGCCGCCCAGAACCGTGGACTTCGAAACGGTGAGTTTTCTTTCCCCAATTCCGTCTGCTTGTCGCTGGCGACACTGTCCCTCAGTTGCTCACATCACATACTGTAGGCTTTGCCTCGCCCTCTAAGCCAACGCCGTCCATCTTCGCCTCGCCGACGAAGAACCCGCAACACCGCACATTGTTCTCATCACAACAAACGTCAAGCCTCTCCAAGCCTTCAGCCCCCCCTTTTCGGAACCCTGCCTTTACCACGCCGAGAAAACCATTTGATCAGGTGGTAATGTCGGAAACGTCCGACATGGAAGACAGCCCTGCCCGCACAGAAGCATCCGATTTCGCCAACGACACGCCTGAGGCGGACCGCATGGGCGACGTCAGTATGTCGGGCACAGTAACTCCAGCAAAGATCGATAAGATATTCCGTTATAGCAAAGCGGCATCGTCAAATCGACGGCACATGCCGGGAAAGGGGGAGATCAGACCACACCGGGACTACGGGCTATCTGAGCTTACCCGTCGTAAGAAGCGATATGGACACGAGAGGGACCTCTATCATGGTCGCCAACAATCACAGGACTCAGACATGGAATTGGATGACGATATGGACTACAACGGTCGGCGTCGGAGGAACGACAGGGCACCCAAGCGCCAGGGCGGGCTGGTAGGCTCCATGTTCCACATGATGGAAGAGCACAATACTGCGCCAGAGAACTTGTACCGGTGGATCCAGCTGGGTATCAATGGATTTATGGGAGGGCTGTTCTGCGTCGTCGTCATCTCGGTGGTGCATACGATACGCTCTGATATTCGTGCCGTCAACGAAGCGGCTCGACAGGAGATCAGGGTCAAGATGGCAGCCTGTCAGGACGAGTACATGGCCAACCACTGCGCCACAACCAACGCCCCGGCCTTCAAGAAGATGTGCAGCGAGTGGTACGACTGCATGATGCAGGACCCGGAGTCAATTGTGCGGGTTAGGGCCACCATGACAGAGGTTGCCAACATTATGAACGACTTTTTTGGAAATTTGAACCTTAAGGCCTGGGTACGTTGGCTCACTTTTAGTGCACTTGCATTTAGGTATCTGCATTCTGCCGTGGGAGATGTCTGCTAACATTTCACAGGGAGCCGTCTTGGCATTCCTTGTCATCACGACATTTGCCAACAACCTGATGATTGGGGCCAAATCCGCACCCGCCCCTGGCCCTGTCGCACGACCAACCATATCGTCAAGCGGTTCCCATTTGGAGCATCCAAGCTCTCGGGGGGATGTCATGTGGATTCCAGTACAGACCCCCAAGATGCGCAGCCGGCGATTCATCGATGATGATACGGATACGGATAGCACCCCACCCAATATGCACAAGATGCTACCTCCTTATACGCCATCTGGGAAGCGTAGTCCAAGCAAGCGGGAGCGTTCACTTAGTCCGATTAAATACGGAAGGAGTCCTATGAAGGGTTACTAAGCGTACATTTTATATTATGAACCCCGCCTATCAACGATGCAAACTCAAGTGCTTAGGTTTCCGTTTCTAGGACATAAGAGAAACAAACTGCTTGGAAAAAGGAAACACGTGTAATAAAAGAAGGGCCTTTTTGAGAACACTATTGGTAATGCAAGCATTGTTTCTTTTCTCAGTATGGGATATAGCGGTATATTACTGTCTGTAGTTTCGCCCCTCTATACTGTCCATGTTAAGCCCACCCAAGGTTCGAGTTGACACATGTTCGGCTCAAGACTCAGTTCTCGACACCTATTGCAACCTCATGCATACCAGTACTGTTTCCATCATACTAAGACTATATTGCTATTACCACTAATATATGTAGTATTACGGCCCATTCTGCGACCTTCACGTGCACCCCCCTTTTCTCTCTTGCTCATCCTCACATCCACTCACGAATAAAAATGACATAGGCAATTATACTATAGCTTAGGATAGGGACTCGATTATAAACAGTCGAGTTGTTAAGTGCTGACACAGGGCAAAGGACAGTTAGGGAAGTGTTAAGCCACTATGTCTAAACTAGAACGAATCATTAATAAATAAGAAATTCTTTAGCCTACTCTAGCTTAGACTCTAGGTTAGAGTGCTAAGTAGTAATTCTCTTTAGCTAGCTAAAAGACGGACTAAAGACATCACACGATGCCCTATTTAGGTAGATATACTCTACGTAACGAGAAGAGTTAAGCTTAGAAACATAATAGGATAGTAGTCTATATGTGACGTTAGGGTCAACTCTGAGCTACAGGGTAGACAGAGATGATGTCGTTTTATGTTAGCGAGACAGTTAGGATGTCGTACTAAGCAATAGGCAGTCATAGTCGTAGGTGCTACTGCTGGAAGGAACTGGGGTTTCAGAAGAAGCGTTGACTATGTTACTAGGTGATCGCCGAGGTCCTTGAGGCGATTATAATGATTGCTTCTATAGTCGCTACGATCCTAGGAACGATCGTAATGATCGTTATTTAGAAATAGGCGATTGTAGTGTTATGTATAAGTGGGCATAGTGATAATAAGTAAGGAAGAAAATGTGGGGTACACGTGAAGGTCGTATATCGGTGTGACGTTAGGGTTAACTCTAAGCTATAGGGTAGATAGAGATAAGTTATCGTTTTATATAACGAGATAGTTAGGATATTATACTAAGCAATAAGGTAGTTATAGTCGTAGGTGCTACTACTAAAAGGAAATAAGGTTTTAGAAGAAGCGTTAACTATATTATTAATAGCTAGGTAAAGAGTAACTAGACTATTGTTACGGCCCGTTATGCGACCTTCACGTGTACCCTACATTTTCTTCCTTACTTATCATCCTTACGCCCACTTATACATAACACTACGATCGTATATATCTAAACAACGATTATTACGATCGTTCCTAGGATCGTAGCGACTATAGAAGCAATCATTATAATCGCCTTAAGGACCTCGGCGATCACCTAGTATATAGTTAACCTTATTTCTATAGCCTAGTCACTCTTTACCTAGCTATTAATAATATAGTCAACGCTTCTTTTAGAACCCTAGTTCCTTCTATAATTAGTACCTATAACTATAACTACCTTATTGCTTAGTATAATATCCTAACTATCTTGTTATATAAAACGATAACTTATCTCTATCTACCCTATAGCTTAGAGTTAAATCTAACTATCATATATAAATAGCTCTTATTTAGACTATTACTATATTAAACGCTAAGTAATATAAGACACTATAGCTCTTAAAGGAAAAAAGTTCTTATTACTCTAATATCCTCTTCTTTAAAGGGAAAGTAGCCCGCTCTATAGGCGAGCCTAGCGCCTACTTAAGCTAAACCCCCTATATAGAAAATAGATATCGATAGCGATAATTCTAACGATAAAGAAACTAATAAACTAGCTTAGGATTAGTAAGCCTATAATAAAATCGCCTTCCTTAAAGATTAGCTTAACTAACTAAGCATTAATATAATTAAGATAAATAAACTTAAGGAGAAGGAATCTAAATAATAAGAAAACTATATTAAGGAAATATAATCTCTTACTAACTTTAGTGTCTCTAGAAAGGATATTAGAGAAATTATTAAGCTAATTATACCTAAAATCTTTAAAGGAGAATCTAAGAAGCTTTAGCCCTTTTTTACTTAATTACGAGCCTACTTTATATACTTCCTATAATAGTTTATTACTAAAGAAAGTAAGGTTATATTCGCTACTAGAAGACTAAGAGGTACTGCTCTTAAATAGTTTAAACTAATACTTTAAGACTTCGTTAATAATCTAGGCAATATATCCGTTAAGACTAATAGTATTATAAATGACTACAATTACTTTAAAAACTCTATATTTTCAAGTCTTTAGCGCTACTAATAAAGAAAGAGAAGCCGAAGACTAGCTTAAGAGACTCTAATAGATAGGATCTATATCTAAATACGCTACTAGGTTCTTATAAATTACCTCTAAGCTACCTTAAGAACCTAGCTACCTTATATTAGCCCTTTATAATAGTATAAAGGAAGAAGTAAAGGATAAGATCTATAAGATAGATCGACCCTATAACTTAGCTATATATATTATAATAGTAACTAAGATTAATAATCGCTAATATAACCGACGACGCGAGAAGAATAAAGGAAACTATAACTTCCCTCACTCTTATAGTTAAAATAGTAATAACTTCTAATACTATTAAGTAAACTAAAGAAAACTATAATAATAGTAAAGTACTATATTTAGTTAGTACGCTAGACTAATAGAACTAGATATAATATATAATAAATTAAAAGAAACCTATTATAATTGCGGCAAGAGGGGCCACTACGCCTAGGAATGCTAATAAAAGAAGAAAAATTAGAGACCTATATAAGAAGGGAAATATCTTAATACCCTTACTAACTAAGCACGAAGTAGTAATAATACCGTTACTAAGAAACACGAACTTCTCTTATAGATAGTATACTATAATAATAGCTATAGAGTCTATATAAGCGATAAAAATAGAAGTAGATAGTACCTATAAAAGCTAAGAGAGAAACGAGCCCTCGCTATAATAGAAAGATAACCTATTTAATGCGAAAACGCTACCTTAAATAAAGTAACTATTAAAAATAAACTATAAGAAGGATCTATACTTAAAGAATTTATTAATTATTCTATCTCTAACTCGATAGGAATAAGTAAGGCTAAATAATTTAAATAAGATACTAATAACCTAATAGATAAAATTAAACTATTAGTTAATACTAATAAAGGAAGAATAAGTAACTAGATCTTATAATAAATAAACGAACTCTATAAATACTATATCTATAATAATAAAAGTATAATAGAAAGCCGAGTATTATATAAGATTAGTAAGATTTTCTAGACTACTAACCCCTACACTCTAGAAGGAATAAGGACCTAGGGATAGATTAAGATAAAATAACGATACGTAAGGGATCAATACCCGCTAAACTATACTTAAGAAATTAAAGATTCCCTAATAAAAGGATTAGGAATTACTAATATTAATAAAGTACCCGCTAATATTTAAAATAGATAGGTTAATTAATAAATAAATTTATTTTATAAACACTATATCGAGAAGGATAGACTACGCGACTATATTATCTAAGAATAACTCGTTTAGATTCTATAACGAATAAACCCCTATACCCTCTTAGGTAATAGAAAAAATAAATAAGACGAACTATAACTCCGCTATAGTAAGAAGATATACCTATAAAATAATAACGACCTTATTAGATAATGCGATAAAAACTATATAGATAACTATAAAGGATACTAGTACTATAAAGAAGAAAAGGAATTTTACTAATGAATTAAATAAATAAGATAAGGGAACCCTAATGTCGCTATATAAACTAATAATATAAACTAAAACTATAATAGTATTTAGAGAAACGATAAACGTTATCTATAATAGGGCTATAGAATAACTAGGAATACCTAATAACCCTAAGTGCTAACTAAGCAATTAGAAACCTAAAAATAGTATTAGAAGTCTAGATCTAGGGATATTATATATAAGCACTATTAGATAGTATTGCGATAGGTAACTATATTTCCCTAGTAGTAGTTAACTAATACTAGCTATTATAGAATTAGAAAATCGAACTATATAAGCTTTTTAATATTAAAGGAGGAATATTTAACTATAATAATAGGAAAGTAGATAAAGAGACTAATTAACTCTTTATAGCTACTTAAGGATATTAAGATAAAGTTATTTTTAATATAATAGACTTATCTAGGTATAATCTAATTTTAGGTTACCTATAGTTAGTAGAAAGTAACCCTATAATTAACTAGCGTACTAGCTAGCTATAGTAAGAAAAGGACACTAAAGCGCGATAGTATTATAAAAGATTAGAGAAGATAAATTTTTATAGTAACTTAACTAATAGAGAGGATCTAAGAGTAGACTATAAGCGAGATACTTTAATAATAATATTAAATATAGTAATAATAGCTATAGTAAGAACTAATATAGATTACTAACCTAGAATATACTATAAATAAAATATAAAATATAATAAAATAATTATAAAAAATGATAAGACTTATTATATAATACTTAAATAAAGTTAATTAATAACTCTAAAAATAAAGAAAAGAAGAAAACGAGCCTAAGCGGTCTAACGATAGACTCGCGAATATCTTATAGGAATATTAAAAATATAATAGATTATTTAAAGAGGAACTTAAAACTAGTTTACTATTATATATATAATAAGACTATAAAATTTACCTTAAGGATAGAACTATAATTAAGTTCTATAAACTCTATAACCTTAATAAGAAGTAACTTAAAATACTATATAAATATATTAATAATATACTATATAAAGGCTCTATTTAAACGTTTAAATTAGAAGTAGGTTACCTTATTATATTTATTTTAAAGAAGAATAGAAAACTATAGCTAGTTATAGATTATAGATAGCTTAACGAAATTACTATTAAAGATCGTATACTA